GGGTAACAGGTGTAGGTATATGAGATGTTGAATATGAAATCATTGTTAAGAAGATAACACACCAACATAGTACCTGACAGATTTGGTTGCAATCCATTAGTGTGGTTTTGTCTGAGACCTAGTTAGAAGCTCGTAGGTGGGGATTGGACAGTTATCTAACACTAACTAGTCTTCAATGACATTCCAACCGATATCGATCTATAATGAGAATGAACTAAGACTTAAGTTTAAGTCACATATTGGAGGGTCTTTATTTGTTAAATATAATTTACCATTAATAAATTTAAGTTTTTACTAGGTTTCTTAGTTACAGTGACAGCTAACTTTACTCACCAATCTTTGCATATTAAAAATGATCTTAAAGTATATTTCATTGTTTCCATCGCAAGTATATTATTTATTCTTTTCAGGAAGGAATCAATAGTTTTCTTAATAACGCATGTACAATTTGTGTAGTTGAATGTATATATGTGTCTTACAAAACGAATCTGTGTACAGAGTCGTTTAGATCGCCAAAAAAGGTGTATAGTAATAACATACTATCTGCTAATTTACACACAATATAACATACTCTGTTACAAAAGGATACCAAGAAAGGGTCATATAGATACAGCAATAAGTTGTGAAGACCAAAACATGGCGAAAATCCATGAAGTCACTGACAACTGGACTGAGTCATGTTGGTAGATGTAAGCTACCTAGTTGGGGTCCACGAGACGAAAGTCACCAACGGTTAGAGACCTTGAACGACATGCCTCAAAACCGTTTGCAATGGTGCAGGTGCATCCATTCTTTGTGTTCTCTCAAACCCGAACTTTCTGAATTCCTCATTACCTTTATCTTCTTTTCAAGTTTCTTTCACTAGATTCTACTTCTTGAATAATATCTTCGAATCCTAATCTCTCCGATTACTGCTAATACCTTTATTAACTCTACAACTAAGGGATTTGAATTGACAATTACATCTCTGTGCTAATATGGTATGGCAACTTGAACTGATGTACGTACGTACGAAGTTCTACGTTGTTAATTGATTGAATTTGTGAAGAGATGGAGTCACAGTACACTGGATAAATAAAAACACAGAAATACTATTCAATAAGAGATACATTCAAGTTAGATACACAACCTCGAAAGGCTCTTTTCAGTTGGAACACCATCTAAGGAGTTATGATGTAGCGAGAGATGATAATCTTGTCAATCTTTCATAACATGGCGGTAAATCAAAGACTGATTAGTTGTTCGGTCTCTCCACATAGTCTTAGTGTCAGAAAATAATGTATGATTTGAAAGTCAACAGGATAACATTCGTAAAACATGAACAAAAAACTAGTTAGCGCTTTAAAATGGTGATATCAAATAGATTATCGTCACAATCCCCGAACACAGGCATTGATAACATCAGTTGTCAGTAATCCTTTAGAGATATTACTGGTTGAATACCAAGTTGTCGTATACCTTCAACCTAGAAGAGCTAGGTTACACAAACATAGAGCAAATTTATTCTCAATGACCTTAAAAAACCAGACTAATATCACAACGGTGCTAGAGATAGTCGAGATAAGCATACGCTCCTCTGACTTTCACTATACAACGCCACTATCAGTAATTACACAGAATACTACTTAAACTACAATGGAAAGCATTATATCACCATAAAACAGTAGAGTCACAATTCATCTAAAGAAATAAATTTTGAAAAACTAAAGCTGATACTAGGAAGTTCTCCAGGCAGCCGAAATGCAGTCTTATGTAGGTGAGATTCTAAATTCATAACCCGTTTACTGATGCGAAAACGCTATCACAGTCACATATTTCACATTCCATGTCAACCAGTTTAATGCAAAAGGCTGTAATTTGGTGGCATTCAAGTGTGATAAACATGAAGCGCAATTTTGTGTATCAATTTATACTAGATTATTAATCACTTCCAATCGCCAACTCATAATTTAATGATATACAAATATTACAAAGGGTATGTCCTGGCACACCTCGTTTTCTCCCGACAGAGTACAACTTCACACTGTTACAGTCATATGTAGTTATCACGTGACTATAGGAAACCTCTGAAATAACTGAGGGATTCTTATTACGGGCAATGTTAAGCAACTATTATAGTTTGGGAAGGTAATTTTATCCCAAAAATGAATAAGAAATACTAATGCATGAAAGTTACCTAACAAAATACTTGAAGGATCTGATCGAATAGTTTATGTCAGTAATTCATATGGTGAAACGTAGACTCAGTCAGTCGGTTACAACATAGAATTTCGTACGTATGTACATAAGTTCAGGTTGCCATACCACATTAGTACAGAGACGCAAATGTCAAATCAAATCCCATAGTGATAAAGATAGTAGAGGTATTAATCGTAATGAAGAAGACTAGGGTTTGAAGATATTATTCAAGAAGTATAATTCAGTGAGATAAGGTTAGAAAGACAAAGGTAGAGGTGCTGACGAATCCAGAAGATTAGGATTTGAGAGAGCACAACGAATGGATGCACTTGCGCCATTCCAAACGATTTTGAGCCATGTCATTCTAGGTCTCTGACCATAGGTGACTTTCGTCTCGTGGACCCCAACTAGGTGGCCTACATCTACCAACATGACTTAGTCCACTTGTCACTGACTTCATGTATTTTTGCCATGTTTTGGTTTGGCTGCCCCTAGCTTTCTTCCAACCTAATCCTACACCAAGAAACATAGCTCGTCGAGGCAGTCGGTGGTTAGCCATACGTAACACATGCGTAACACAACCACTTCAACTGATGAAGTTTCAGTACTTCATCTATTGATCTGCCATCCTTACCTAGTACTCGTTTCCTAACGACATCATTGCTTACTCGGTTGTCCCACGGTATATGACACGGCCGATGCAAGCCGCTTGCGCGTCAGTGGTTCAATGGTAGAAACGTAGACTTGAAAGCGATAAGTTGTAAGACATTAAAATCATTTCCAATGTTCATCAATAATGGTTGGACTCATCCTAATCTTTTTTATAGACAATGTTTACACATGACAGTGATTCATGTGAATGGATTTCTGTCTTCTCCTGTGAAATCCGCATTTCGTTATTCATCTATAATTGACTAGATATTCTAGCTGGGAGCATTACCTCACATAATTTAAGTATAATGACTAAAATCCGTCAACACAAGTTTGAATTAATCTAACAGTATGTTGACTAAGACATATTCAAAGCTGCAGTTTTGTCCGATTAAGAAACACGTATACACCAATAATAATAATGAGACTATAATTCAAGTTACCCATATTTTTTAGAAAAAAAGTAGGTAAATAACTATATCCTATTGTTCATGGTACACAGACAGTCATTTAAAAGGTAGTGCGATGTACATACCATTACTTAGTAAGTCACATACAAATTTATGGAGTACGGTCTTTTAAGATCTAAAGGTTTCACATTAAGCCATTTAGATATTTACAGATGCAGGTAGGTGTTTGAACCAATAAAAGCTTACACGACAATGTTCCACAATGTGTTACGCGAAACATCTCAGTATATCAGGATAATATCACAGGTATTCTAAAACTAGGTAGTATCTCTATAGAAGACAGTAGAACTATGATAGTTAAAACTTGAATTTACTGGACAACTGCCACTCATAACTCCGTAACCAATGTTTTTCAGTTATTTACTCATATAACTAAAAAAACCTAGCTTAGAAAGCGATAAACCGTTGACACTGACCACTCTTTTGTGTGCAACTCATCCACTATTGTACAAACAGAATGTCAAGGTAGTAAAAACCCAAATCCCTAACACAACAAACACTAAGGTTAGTTGCCAGAAAACAGAGGTGTAGCTCAACGGCTTAACTGAGATCACAATTAAGGAGCTTACCACTACTAATATGGCTTAACGTTTTACAGAGGAGTACAATCTCACGATCTCACTTATGGGGAAGGCAAAATATCCCTTTGCTGACTAAAGGACGAGTGTACTGTGCAGTGGTTCGCTCTGTCTTACTGTGAAACATGGCCAATGAGAGTAGAAGATATTCGTAGGTTACTGGTTTTCGATCATAGGTGTCTTCGAAGTATTGCTCGTATATCCTGAGACAACCGAGTGAGCAACGCTGTTATTAGGAATCGGGTGCTAGGTAAGAATGGCAGATCAATAGACGCAGTAGTGACACCTCATCAGTTGAGGTGGTTGGGACATGTGTTACGAATGCCTAACCACCGACTGCCTCGACGAGCTATGTTTTATGGTGTAGGAGTAGGTTGGAAGAAAGTTAGGGGCGGCCAAACCAAAACATGGCACAAATCCATGAAGTCACTGACGAGTGGACTTAGCCATGTCGGTAATTGTCGACTACCTTGGTTGAGGTCCACCAGATTATAATAATCTATGGTTAGAGACCCTGAATGACATGGCTCAAAATCGTTCGCAATGGCGCCGGTGCGTCTATTCTTTGTGTTCTCTCAAATCGTAATCTTCTGGGTTCTTCAACAACTCTAGTTTTGACTTTCTAAACTTATCTCATTGAATCATACTTCTAGAATAATATCTTCTAATCCTAACCTCTCTGATTACTTCTAATACCTTTACTACCTCTTCTACTACAATTATGGGATTTGAATTGACAATTACATCTCTGTGCTGATGTGGTATGGTAACATGAACTGATGTACTTACGTAAGAATTTCTATGTTGCATCTGACTGACTAACTGACTGACGATCTCACAAAAATAGATGTATATACTGAGTAAAAAGCTAACAAAGGAAAACGATAAACACAGATGATCAAACTGAGATGAAAAAAAAACAGCTAAAATTCTGCGAGAACCATCGTATAGTCGGGTAAATATCAGCAACAGAAACCCATTTATTAGAGATAATACCAAAGTTTTAATTTTTTTAAAAATCTACAATACGTTTCTTAAAATACTGACAATAAATTAGGTAAAAAGTTCATATATACATATGTACATTAAGTGATTTAATTGAAGATACATAATTAAAATGTATTTATTTAAATGATTGTATAGTATATGGACTGGCAATAGGTTGAAAATAATCAGCAGGACAACGACATACTAATTTACAACAACTCAAATCTCTCAATATATCTTCTTCCATACCTATTAAAAAATTCAAAGATAATAACAATGATGATAATAACAATTCAAACTAACCGATTATATAATCTGATGGTCGAAATTCTTCATCACGACAACCTGAAACTGGGATTAACCAAGTTAAGAAACAACAATTATCTCCAACTGAATCCGTAGCCAATCCTACAATTCATGTCAATAATAATAATAACAATAATAAGCTTATTACCTCTTATTTGAGCATAGAAAATTTCACCATCAACATCTAATAATGAAACAATATCACCTACATGATACCAAACATCCTAAAAAAAACATGTTACTATCATAATGATCAATACAATTAACCAACCTCATGGTAAACACAATTACGAAGACTTATAAGAGCTGGTGGATTTGCTAATTTTTGTGTCTATTGAATAGTAAAGATTTATTATACTTATTACTTCTCTTTTAAACATATGACGTCGAGAACGTGGTCTTTGAGTAGTGCCTTTACCATTATAATTACTATATGATCCTTTACATCGATTAGACAAAACTTTAGATCTCATAGATTTTCTTGTTTGACTAGTTGGTTTGTTTTTTGGTAAACTAGAAACAAGACTTGATTCACTTCCAGATTTTTTACATCGAGTTCTTGTCAGTGTTCGGATAGATGTTTGAGAAGTTCCATCAGAGTTAGACGCTTCTGATACGATGTCTGGAACATCTACTAAATAAACTAGAGTATAGTAAATACTTGAAGCCTCCATATCAATATCAGCAGTAGGCTTTTGGTTGTCAGGACATTGAATCATAATAAAGGAGTGTACCGCAAAGGTTGAAACATCACCACTTAGCTTTGGTGTATCCAATATCCAATATTTATCTAATGTATTTTTCGAGAGCTAGTATAAACCAGTTGATTTCTTTGTTCTTGGTTGTCGTTTTTAAGGTACACTTCCAGGTATTTGGTAGTGCTCAATGGATTATAGTCTAGCCACTAGACTTCACTTATTCTAGTCATTTGGGAATAATAAAAAGAACATTCTAATGCTTATTATTAGATTCCAGAACTCAGCTAATAAATGAATTAATAATTAATTGATGGTGAAGATTGTGTGAAAGGACAGGATTTTAAACAAACAAGAGGGAACAGAGATAATTGTCGAGATGGTATAAGTTAGCGATCTCAGTAAGTGACATTGATAACAACTAGTAAGTTTCGAGATGTGCATCAGGCAAAGCTGGTTCGAGTGTGAGATGATAATCCGTATGTGAGTATGTGTTTAACAAGTCTCCTTCTAAAGCTGTCCACTGAGGGAGCTATAGTCACTTCGGGTAGGAATGCATTCCTTGTTGGAGCAACGCCTACTGAGAAGTGTGCATGTACCTGAGCATTTGTTTTTTAGTGTTCAATTTATGATGGTTACCTTAGTAGGCGTGATGATGCTGTTCTATCAGGATTCCAATTTTGTTATGATTCGGGGTACTCAGTATGTCATATGCCCTTATCACATCATCTATGGTTTTCCTGTAACTCAGTAATGATAATCCCAGGTGTTGGAATCTGTCTTTGTAAGGTTTGTTCTTCAACACTATCACCCAATTGTTGCTCGTCTCTGAACTCGATCCAAGAGATTTATGTTTGTTTTAAAGATAGGGGATGCAGTGACGTTGCGAACTTCAGGGTTTTGTCAGATGTATGTTAAAAACCAAATTATCTCCACATAAAGTAAACAGTTGTTTTGTCGTTGACTGTAGTTTGAAGTGGTATTTAGGCTTTGTGTAGTTACTAAACCGAAATCACGCTAGGAACATACATGAGAGATAGGACCTTCATTGACGATGTAATCTGATTGTGTCGCATCGAGCAGAATGTTCTTAAGAACCATCAGGGCTTTGCGCCATCTTAATAGATCAGTGCCCCCGAGCTGATTTTATCTATAAATTCATTACTGAATATCTGGTGGAGAGGTGGACCTAATGTGGTCCTCTGTGAAACTCCTGATGTTAAGTTACGCCAGCTCGCACACACATTATTTACCTTGGTAAGAAACTTTCTTCTCTTAAGAGAGTTTTTGAGCCCAGATAGCGGTAGGTCGGTGGGGTGTCACGCTTTGCAAGCTCACACAATCGTCCGTAACGTGATGGGGTAGCTATGTTTTAGTTAGGATCATGATCTTCAGATTCATCTGAGAGCACAGATTCCGGATTCCTTCCAGATTACCACACAACCCCTTACACTTCTATGGAGGCACTTGACACTTTGTCTCAACACATGATGCACCTCTGCAGTAGCAATCATTATAGGATTTTCAAACAAGTTGTTCAAACCAAGTTGGCCAGTTTTGTGGGAACTGGCCTCTGCAAGTTTATTGCATGTTCAGTGTGTTCAGTCGGTGAGACTATGATCTTCACGTCTTGTTCCCTGGGTTGTTGATCGAGGTCGACCGTCATTACTGCGAGCTTTCTCTGGCCACCTTGTTTTTGTCTCAGAGATCTAGATAGGCTCTCGTAACATATGGTGTCTCTAGTGAGATCGTCCTTCGTGCTGTACAAAGCTTGAAGCTCCATAGTTGGGATCCATCGGTGTCTGAAGTTCAAATCCTTCTAATTTGAAGAACTAATAGTCTTGAGATGTAACGGAAGAGGCAGCCGGGGGAAGCAAGTTGCCATGGTTGTGTGAAGGTCCATGTTACGTGATGACCTCTAAAACAGTGTTGCGTGACCTTCATTCGGGCCACCATTAACCAGATGAAGCATTCCGTGTAACACCGTGCTTATTTCTTCCTGGGTGTTTTTTGATGTCCTGAAAGCTGCTCGTACTGATTTATGGTGCTTGACTCAGATCGGTAGGTGGGGGCAGACAGTTTAACCGAAGGTCTCTGAGTCGTTCGGGATATTTCTTAGGCAACTTGTGCCAAGTTTAAAGTTACCGTCAGCTGTAGAACATTCCCTTTAGCGATGTTCAGGCCCTTGAACAGACGGCATAATTTGGCCGGGGTACTACCCATTCCAAGCATTGCACAGTGTTTATCCCACGTTTCTTTATCAAAGCTAGTAAGCTATCTTCCAACAATGGAACAATAAATGAAATTAGTGAATTTGGTCTAGTATCCTTTTCCCTAATTTGTAGCGTTTTTGCATTTGTGGTGTTGCCGTTTCCTTGTCTTACGCTCGCTCAATGCTCCGTACTGCTAAAAGGTACTGAGGAGTTTAAAACAAGCGATAGTTTCGTCAGTGCATTAACTTAGGTTTCAGCTGCCATTTTCACCTGTTATGATCGTTCATTTGTTAGACGAATTCGGTATTCTAGTGGGAAACATAGGTTTATTCTTGATAGTGCTTTTTACTTCGCTGTCGTTAATTTTCCGTCTCAGTGATTCAGCACTCTGGACAAACCTACCAGAATTACGGACAGGAGTGACCCAGCATGAACCCGTAGTACCGCTTAGAAACTTCAGTGTCGCAGCGTCAGTGAACCCATGCCCTGCATAAGTCATAGTCGCTTGCTGTAACCGGCAAAGAGCGGGCGATATAACTATCCCTGTGTTTTTCTGAAAAGTGGGGTGCGTTTTTTGAGTTTTAGGATGACTCACACACCTTTTCTGCCTGATAGTCTTGCTAAGAGTACGAGTCTGAGAAGGTAAGTCGTACTGGGATTTTCGACTCACTAATAACCCCGGAATTCAGACTTCTAATTGTTTTCTTATTTATTCAAGTGCAAGAACTGGTAGTAGTGCTTTAACTGAACGTATTACCATATTGATACGTAAAAAGAAAATATGCCAGAAATAAGTTTTGATGCAGGAAAATAATAATTTGAGTAGAATGAATAAATACGAAACAACAGTCGAACTTGTAACGTGATCTCTGGCCTTCCTAGTAGGGAACTTCTTCTGGTTCCTATAAAGTTTCTTCATGTCCCGTGTTTGCAAGTGGATGAATGTGTGTATTCTGTCTTGGAAGCAACTAGGAGCAGAGCAGATGAGTGAGACACTTAGACCAACAGCACAGTGGTTCCAGCTTGATATGACAACGTTTGTCTGACAGGATATTTCAACTGTATACCAAGGAATGGAGACAATGTTTATATCGTCGGGAATATGTGAATGTCCCAATCTTAAGATTTTGATCTTGCCTGTAAATTGGCATGCCTTTTGTAACATGTTTGTTATTTTAGAATAAATTATTATTATTATTATCTGGTATCGAAAAGCGGATTGTCACCTGTTAAGGATGAGTGATAGAAGAGGACAAGTCAATCTGTAGAAACACCAAACCTCAATTTTCAGTCTTTGATAGTGAGTGATACGGTGAAACTCAGTTGCTGGATAAACTCAAAAATGTCCAAGAGAATCTATTATCTTCTTTAAGACCTTATGCAGTTCAACAGGTTTCATTATTCATGTGTTTGATATTAAAGTACATTGATAGTGTTTGGTTGAGAAGGACACGAATATTCAAACTAGCTATTGAAACACCAGTTGATTAATCGTTCTGTATTTCCCGCGAGAAAATTAGGGAAATGAAAGGAACTAAAATCAGTTCGACAGCTCAAACAATGAAAAACGAAGTTTCACGTTGTCAGGGACAAGAGGCTGGGTGGCATTTGTTCGTCCTCGGAATGGTGACCCTTCAGTCGATTCAAATCTCATTCAAATGAGTTGACAGATTAAGTTACAATCCCGTGACAAGGAGACGGCTTCCATTCAGTGATGATTCAGTTTTGACGAGCGATTTGTTCTCGGCTTGTGTCATTTTTCGTGTTCCAATGGATAATCAAATAAGTAAGTGGTTATCTGACAAAAGCTGATTACCAGTTTAAAAACTTTAGACAAGTCTCCTTTGGTCCTTCTACGGGACAAAGAAGATGGATTTAGTTTATCCAGTCTCTCATCTTCCGAAAATCAACCCAGATGCGGTTCCTTGAACTCTATCCAATAGCACACTGTCCTTTTTCAGTCAGATATTGCTTTCTTCTAAGAACTACTCAAGTTTAAGATGAACGAACATCAGATACAATTAGAAGAGCTTTTAGCATTATTGTCACTAACTATTCTGTGTACTCACCATAGTGTTTGAAAACTTTGGTAGCTGTCGCAAGGCTGTATGCAGTATTTCTCAACTTATGAACATGGGTTTCTCGGATTTATAAGTATGATTCTACATTTTATGTAAAAATTCATACATACCTCTGAAGCCATTATAGCAAGGGATTACGGTTCTATTATTAAATTTACCGTATGCTTACTTCCCAAATCTTTGCTAGATTCTGAGCTGACATATCGTTGCTGATGACGATATGTCAATCAGAGAACACAACTAAATGGGTACTCTTACCCGAAGATGGTATTTCCCCCCCATAGTTGGAATAAAACAGCATCTTTCCTAATGCTAATCCGTTTTGTCTAGTCTGCTTAGAATGTATTCCAAATATTCCAAGCACCACCAGCGTTTATCTTTTCATTTCCTCAGTAACTTGAATAGTTCTTCCAGTTTCCTACATTGTGAGATGTTTCTAAGTAGCTATATTAATTTTTGTTCCAGTTTTCAAAAGATGCGTTGGCCTTGTTTGTTACGTCCAATTTTTTGCTCTTTGATCCTTAGAAGCACAGTTGTCGATCTATTTGCAATTCACGATCCCAAATATTAAACCAAAAGGAAATTCCAAAGTAGATACCAAAGTTTATTACCAATTCACCAATAATCGACCAAAATGTGTTTATTACAAATAGACGACCAATGTCGTTCTAACAACAATAATTATAATAATTACAATTACCTTCTATTTTATAGGTTTCTGGAGCAAAAAACTGCAAACGAACAACCAAGAGAAACAGGAGTCCAAAAATGGCCGAAAATAATAATTCAAACAAGTTCATAAGTTAAGTAAAACAATTGTACCCAAACAACGCAGTGAAATTAATGATATTTATATATAAAGGTTTTGATCAGCAAAATATCTTCATTCCTCCCGTAACATTGTTTCTTTCTAAGAGACCTAGCTTTTATCATGAGGCGTCATAACTTTTCGAAATGAAGTCTTTCCAACTTCCATAGTAGAAGAATTCAAATGTTTTGAATTAATTGTCCTGGTAAACATTTTTTCAGGGAGTTAGCGTCCTACTGGATAGGGTCGCTATCCTCCCAAACTGCCTCCTTTATACAGGCATGTGACCGACAGTTATCCTAGATGGGCTCCAGTCAGAGTTATACTCTGAACTAAACATCGTTAATCACAAGTCTAAGTTTGGAGATCAATTTTTTATGAGTGACTTTAATGTCCTAGTAACCATATATTTCATCCTCCAGTCATTAGGCTGCAAAACCCTAAAGATTCAACTATCCTAGAATGGGCAGTCTGATCAACAAGCATGAGAGCGTACTAAAACTTTTATTCAGTATTTATCATGGGAATCATACTTTAACATAAAGAACATAGATGTTGTGCATTTGATGTGTACTTCAACCAAATGTACTCTCTTGACTGAAACGCACCAAATGTAGACAATATCAGTAAAAATACCTTCAGGAGGAAGCTCTACTACTACCCAAACACCTATCAACACGTTTCCGATGTTGAGAAATATGCAAATTAGTTTACACCCACCAACAACAAGAAGGTTATAACTTCTTGGAAAAAGTTCTATGACCATAAACCTGATTGTATTCTTGCATCTTTCGTGAAGTGTAGAAGTAAAGAATTGCCACCATTTTGCTTAAAGCTGTTCAATCTCTCTCTGTATTGACCAAAGAGCATATCTGTTTGAATGGGAAATATCTCTTATTACTCTCAAATTCAAAATACAGTAAAACAGAGATATCGTTAACCTCTGCGCTATTGAGAATAATGGAAAAAATCATTCACAGACAGCTTTTGTCTGATTAGCCCCTCTCAAGCCAGATTCATAACCAAACGCTCCTGCTGCACATCACATTTAGAATTTGTTGATAAAATAACTCAGCAATGGGATGTTGATCATTTCGTGCTATGTTATGTTATCTATCCATAGTAAGAAAACTCATTGCACAGCATATAACTATAGCTAGTGAACAAATGAATTAACGCTACCACGGGCCATTTTAGACCTACTGCTGGGATCAAGACTGAATCATAGAAGAAGATTGAGAATGGGGTTACCGATCTTATTCCATAAAAAACAACCTTGCTATAAAAACACTAACCAGAATCATCTTGAAGATGGACAGAACATACATTGGAAACTCATCTCATGTTGAAATCCTCAAAACAAAAAGCTGACAAAAGAATACATTACTCCGTGAACTGGAAAATGACATCAAAAGAATTCAGAACACTAGATAACAGACAGTCCTAGAAGACAGCTCAGGACATAAAACGTTGCAGATCGCTAGTCAGTAACAAATACTCTACAAAGGCTAACAAGTATCCTCTTCCTCTTTCTCAATACTGATTAAGTCAGTTCCGTTTTATCAAATTTAAAAGTATACGTATACGTCGACATCTGGAGGGAAGCACGTTATCAACTGGATAGTAAGGACGTAGCTGGACGATCTGGACTTCGCAGATGACCTGGCTGTTCTATCGCACACGCAACAACAAATGCAAGAGAAGACGACGAGTGTAGCAGCAGCCTCTGCAGCAGTAGGTCTCAACATACATAAAGGAAAAAGCAAAATTCTCCAATGCAACACAACATGCACCAACCAAATCACTCTTGATGGAGATGCCTTGGAGGACGTTGACACCTTTACATATCTGGGCAGCATCATCGACAACCAAGATGGATCCAACAGAGATGTGAGGGCGCGGATTGGCAAAGCAAGGGCTGCATTTCCACAGTTGAAGAATATCTGGAACTCCAAACAACTTTCAACCAAAACCAAAATCAAGATTTTCAATACAAACGTTAAGACAGTTCTAATGTATGGAGCGGAAACTTGGAGAACTACTAAAGCCATCATCCAGAAGATATAAGTGTTTATTAACAGTTGTCTACACAAAATAGTTCGGATTCGTTGGCCAGACACTATCAGCAACAATGAACTGTGGGATAGAACAAACCAGATTCGAGTGGAGGAGGAAATCAGGAAGAAGCGGTGGAAGTGGATAGGACACACATTGCGGAAAGCATTCAACTGCATCACAAGACAAGCTCTCACATGGAACCCTCAAGGCAAAAGGAAAAGAGGAAGGCCAATGAACACATTACGCCGCATAATAGCGAAAGATATGAGAGGAATGAACAAAAACTGGAAAGAACTGTAGAGGGAAGCCCAGGACAGAATTGGTTGGAGGAAACCGGTGGGCGGCCTATGCTCCATTGTGGGTAACAGGCGTAAGTAAGTAAGTAAGTAAGTTTATGTACGTATATGTATGAACATGTTTAAAATTTTTGAAAATGTATTTTTGGTTATATCATGATCGCAAAAAAACAAGAACAAAAATAAAACGAAGATACAAACAGATCGTCAATCTAAACAATGAATAAGAGTGTGAGTTCAATATTCAGTATATTGACAAGATCAGAATTTTATGATAAAGACAATAGTATTCATGAAAAGAAAGTGATTTTTTTTTTTAAAAAGGCAAGAAATGATTCTTTGGACTGAAATACACACCTGAAACATTTGTAAAATATATATCATCACATTTCATGTCAATGAAAGTTTATTTTACAAATATTTGTAATTTTTTTTCATTGTTTTAAAAAGGATCTTTGGACAAAATATAAAACAAAGTTAGTCAGTGAGTTAGTTAGTTAGTTATACAATAAAAAGTTACAATTTATCTTTGAAATGAAAAAAAAAACAATTTTTTGGAAAACAAGATCATCTTGATCGATAAATTCACCAATAAAATTAGAGAGAGAAAAACAAAGTATAAAATAATAATTTTGATTGGATATTTTGTCTTTAAAATTAAAAATTAAAGTGATAGACGCACGCGCACATACGTACACACATACACAGAGTGATCGATCATTCATCGACCAATAAATGTTGTAATTGAAATACATAACTACGTGCCAATTCTAACAAAGTGACACAGTCGTGTTGTTCTGTTAATTCTGAAATAAGAGAGGTGAGAATAAAAATAAAATTATTATGATTAGTAACTTCAACTGGAGCCCCTCGGGGGTTACTGCCGGTCCCAAGCTCGGGTACACTGGGAGGGTTTGGTGTGTGCAATTAGATAAAGTGGTCACTATCATAACGAATGTATAATACACTAATGTGACAGAATCTTAGTCATTATTACTGTTACGCATGCACGTAAACACGTCAACTTGATATACTTGAACTATATTATGAGTTTACCTTAGTCGGAAAGCGTGAGCAAGGATCGAGGATCCAGTGACACGACAGGCTACTCTAATTCGAGTGCCCCAAAGACCCCTTTCAGTAAAAGAAAACTTGATATGAAGTAGAACCTGTATTCTACAAGCATTCAGAAAGTACGAGGTCCGAGTCCAGAAGAGAATCAGGATCCCGGACTAGGATTACGGGATCGGGTCCTGGTCATAAAACGTTACAGATAATGCGTATTTATACAGTTAGGTCGAATAGAAAACAGCATCGAAGTCTGTGACATTGACAGTTAAGACGACCAATAGGAAGCAACATTTGATGTGACATTGATAGTCAGGACAACCAATAAGAAATAACATTGGAACACGTGACACTGATATCTAGGACAACCAAAAAATTGACCATTAGGAATTAACCAATAGGAATAGACTAATAATTCACTTAGGCTATTGGATGAATATCCTCACAGTTACCCAAAGATTTCATTCATTAACAGTAATTATCACATGGACCTCAAAACCAAACAGTTTGAATCCATCAACCTGGTTCAGATCAATATATGCTGACTGCATGAACTGATGCTATGGTGTTACTTTGGTTGATTATAGTTTTCTTCTGATTTACTACAACAGCTAACATCGTCTGTCGAAGTAGGAGGTAGTTTTCCATTTGTAATTTAATTTCCAACGACATCAGTTGAGGAGGATTTGAAACGGTATAAATTAAATTTTCATATTTGCCTAATTACCCATGCCGAAATTTACCACTGATTATCTGCCGTTTCGTGATACTCAAGTTATCCTTCAAAGACATTGGTGACTATATATCCTGTAGTCTACTTGTATCTTCTACTTTCAGAGACCTTGTTTCGCAGCCACCGAGTAATAAAGAATAGACTGCTGTGCGATATACTCCCCTAATCGATAAATGATGCAAGTTGAGGGAAGCCACCCCGAAACTTCAACGAACCCCAACCTGTCAGAATTTTTAAGACTGATGACATAAGAAGAGTAGTCGATTGGCTCGACCACTAACCCTCCTATAAGTAGAGAATAGCTCAGATCATTCCTAAAGCAACATTACGCATTTAGACAGTGAGTAACATATACCAAAATACAGCAGTATTTTTACTCATAACATGAAAAACAACCAGATTGTAGTAACATTTTCAGTGGATGGGATATCCCATCTATGTATTCTAACTGAAAATCTGCGCTGAGAAACTGAAAATCTCAGCGCGGATGCAGAAATCTCGATTGGATTTTGCCAACCTGCGTCACTTATGGCGTAGGCGTGATATCCGTTCGCTAACCAAAGGACGAGTGTACTGCGCAGTAGCTCACTCCGTTCTCCTATATGGATGTGAAACATGGACGTTAAGAGTAGATGTTCGTAGGTTACTAGTATTCAATCATAGATGTTTAAGAAGCATTGCTCGTATATCGTGGGACAACTGGGTAAGCAATGCTATCGTTAGGAAACGAATTCTAGGTAAGGATGGCAAGTCAATAGATGAAGCAGTGAAACCTCATCCGATGAGGTGGTTGGGACATGTGTTACGAATGCCCAACCACCGAATACCTCAACGAGCTATGTTTTGTGGTGTAGGAGTAGGTTGGAAGAAAAATAGGGGCGGCCAAAAAAAAACATGGCAGAAATCCATGAAGTCACTGACAAGTGGACTCAGTCATGTTGGCAGATGTAGGCTACCTTTTTGGGGTCCGCGGGACGAAGGTCACCGATGTTTAGAGACCTTGAACGACATGGCTCAAAATCGTTTGGAATGGCGCAAGTGCATCCATTCGTTTAGCTCTCTCAAATCCTAATCTTCTGGATTCGTCAGCACCTATACGTTTGTCTTTCTAACCTTATCTCACTGAATTGTATACTTGTTGAATAATATCTTCAAACCCTAGTCTTCTTCATTACGATTAATACCTCTACTATCTTTATCACTATGGGATTTGATTTGACATTTACGTCTCTGTGCTAATTTGGTGGTATGGCAACATGAACTTATGTACATACTTACGAAGCTCTACGTTGCAACTGACTGAAGTGAAAATCCTGAATAGAGACCAATTATCGAAAAGTCAGAGGACAATAGCTTCATCTGTAATTACAGTTACTGCTAGAGTTCCTAGAGTCAAGCGCATCAAATTCTAAATTAGGATTAAAGGATAAAACTACACCAAGGATTTGGTAAGTATGCTCACATTTCAAAACTAGACAAACGATACATATTGGACTGATAAATCAGCGTTCAAATATGAAACCAGTCTGGTTTTCCCATGTTTCCCTCTTATGAACACCAATTTATGTTTAAGCGGTTACACAGGCAAAAATTTCAAACAATGCGCTAGTCAGACTGGTCTCTTTTCAGTATTTAAAGTAGAAACAGCCCTATCTGACAAAGCAAGACGATCAGCTAACTAGATACCAGTAGAATGACATTAGGTTCAGCTATAAAAACTCTAACTAAGATCACCATAAGTTTAGCATCTAAAACTAGATCACCATTCTTAGTGACTTCTAGAGCAATTTGGATGCCTCCAAGCTTCAAGTTAGTTATGGTGTTTTAGTCTTGACCATAAGCTGAGGTCCTAGAATCTACCTACTATTCAAGTTGTTGGGAGATTTTGGCTTAATAAGAAGGAAACTGAAGTCCAGTTGAATTGTCCCTTAAATTGTTCTTTCTGTATGTCTAGACTAACTACTGAACTTTTGATTTCGATATAACTGAAAAACAGATATCAGTCACTTCCATAGTGAATTCGCCCTGGCTGCAATTGCATTTATGTTACACTACTTAATAATAGTCAGTAGCTTGAGTTATATTCAATCATTTATAAACAGTCAGTCTCAGTGCTTGCAGTTTTATGAATCTCTTATTTCAACTTTCTTGTGTTTTATTCCTCTTTGAGTTTTGTCTATTTCGAACGAATTGTTTTTACTCAAAACTTAACAAATGAGTTATTTTCACTCATCATTGATATTGCCGGATGGGACGGCTGCTGTGTTAAAGGTTCTACTGGACTGTAGTTTTCATGAGATGATTGGAGTTTGTAGTTTTGAAACTATAAGTAAGCCGTTTGTACCGTCTTACACTTCTACACCTGCGGAGGGATTGGAATTTTCAAAATCTTATCTCTACATCGATAACACTAATATCTGACAGTTGATATTTCATTGATAAGTTGAAGTTTACTCTGTTATATGAATGAATCTTTCGACTGAACTATCCTTTACAAAATTATTCATTGCCTTAACTAATCGGTATTGAGAAAATGATTTTCTAAGTGATTTTTAATCTCCCACAGTTATTGACATTTGAAACGAAAAAGCACAGACTATTCTCAAAGATAGTTTTTTATACGAAAAACTGTTCACATCGATACAAGTGACTTTCAAACTACGGAATATTCTTTCAAAGACATAAAACCCTTAAAATCAGTAAAGTACCCTAAAAACCCGGTTTACGAATGAATATAGTGAGCTAATCGGAAATAGTCAGATGAGAAAGCCACTTGATAACAATCAAAAATGTCCTAAAAAATCGAATGCATACCATTGGTCAAGAAAAGGATTGATTTTCTGACGAGAGCGAATGTATACGTATAAATTAACACTTATGTATGTGATTCAATAGACCAATAAACATTCTCATCTACTCCTATCTTCTCATTCAAGTAGTCAGCTTTGGAGGGTTAGCGTATATGGCTTTCAAATCTGAGATATCACACATGATTTCTTGATATTCATAATCTTTTTCAAAAGACATCATCATATACACTACTTAGAGCAAAGTATATTTTATCATTTTCATTGTTCTAGTTAGTGTATTTTTTAAGCAAGTTGGTTTTCTACAGGATAGGGGTCTCTAAACCCATACTCTCAAACTCTCCTCCCTTACCCATGCTTGAGATCGTCAGTCAGTCAGATGCAACGTAGAACTTCGTACGTAAGTACATCAGTTCATGTCGCCGTACCACATCAGCACAGAGTCACAATTGTCAATTCAAATCCAATAGTAGAAGAGGTAGTAAAGGTATTAGAAGTAATCCGAGAGGTTAGGATTAGAAGATATTATTCAAGAAGTATGATTCAGTGAGAAAAGTTTAGAAAGTCAAAACTAGGGGGGGTTGAAGAATCCAGAAGATTAGGATTTGAGAGAACACAAAGAATAAATGCACCGGCGCCATTGCAAACGGTTTTGAGCCATGTCATTCAAGGTGTCCAACCATCGATTATTATTATCTCGCGGACCCCAACCAGGTAGTCGACAACTACTGACATGACTCAGTCCACTTGTCAATGACTTCATGGATTTCTGCCATGTTTTGGTTTGGCCACCCCTAACTTTCTTCCAACCTATTCCTACACTACAAAACAAAGCTCGACGAGGCAGTCGGTGGTTGGGCATACGCAACACATGTCCTGACCACCTCAACTGATGAAGTTTCAATGCTTCACCTATTGATCTGGCATTCTTACCTAGCACCCGGACCTAACGACAGCGTTGCTCACTCGGGTGTCCCACGATATACGAGCAATGCTTCGAAGACACCTATGATCGAAAACCAATAACCTACGAATATCTTCTACTCTCATTGGCCATGTTTCACAACCATAAAGTAAGACGGAGTGAACCACTGCACAGTACACTCGTCCTTTTAGTCAGCAAACGGATATCTCGCCCTATGCCATAAGTGACTCCGATTGGCAAAAGCCAATCGAGCCTTCTTGTATCCGTGCTAAGATTTCGTCAGTCACCAGGCCATCGTCAGTAACCCTAGAATGGCTCCAGGATGGAGTTTTCTTAACATATTCATAAAATCCCAAAATACATTTTAAACAACACAACCTCATCAAAATCATTAAAACCAAAAAATTCATTAAAACTTACCATTATAAAATCGAATAATTTCTGTGATATCCATATTATAATAAATAATTATATCACGATAATATACAATTAATGCCAAAGCAAAAAATATACCAAAATCATAAGTTACTAATCGACGTGATGCCCAAATTGTTTCCCATACAGGAAATATATCATCATATTGTAATTCTAACAAATGAAATAATAACAAAGTTTTAAAAATTTCGAAATATTAAATATACTACTGACTATATTAATAGTAGGACAATTTGAACTAGACAAAATTATTAGTGATTAGAAGTTCTATTCTCTCTCACTTGGCAGGTACACAGGATATCAAGTTAATCTGAATAAAGATTTCAAGATGGTCTACCATATTCTATCAGATTTATTACATGGTTTTTCTTTTGTATATATTGCTGAATTTATCGGGATTCATGTTCAAAAGAAGTTTGTACAACAACTTTCTCTCTCTGTGGCTTAGTCATCTGTATAACAGTGAATTTCATTATAGCCTTGATTAAACTCATCCTCATTTTAGAAATCACGAACTTATTTAAACTAGATCACTATTAGAAACGTGGAAGTATTGGATGGTCTTTCTGTTCTATTATGGAACTCTTCATCAATGCGTATCTGTGACCTCGTAAGCTGGAATTAAAACTATAACGCTGAGTTTCACGCATCAAAGCCTAACCTCTAAACCACTGAGTCAGCATGTTAATGTCTAACTTTATTGAATCCATGATGGAAATCTTCAGTGGTGTGTGCATCCACAATCAAGGGAATCGAGACGACCGTCCAATACTTCAAGGATTCTAATGATGGTCTAGTTTCGATTAATAATTCAGTTAGCATTTACATGAGAAACTTCTGGATAGGAATTCACCTGATCGACTGGATTAGATTTAGCCAATCAGCATGCAGCTAATAACATGAAAATTTTCTATCCTGTTCTGCAAAAATTGATCAGGCGCTGATTGGATAGGAAATTAGCCAATCAGCGCGCAACAACGCGGTCATGGTTTAATTCCATCTATGTCACACTAACAAACCTGTACTTGATTTCGCTTATGATGACGATTTCAGTCGATGTTTTTTGATAAGGTTGAGTGGATAGCAATGAACAAACATATCGATATTGACCCAATTTATCAACCAAACAGAATAATCATAGGCGACGTAAGATCAAGAAACAGATCAGAAGGTGGATACAATCAAAATAAAGGTGCAAACAATCACAGGTTTAAGGTCAACAGTAACCAATCAAGATCGAGGTTAACAGAACAAGCTACAGGTCAAACGTGGAGAAATTCGAATACTTCACTTCTCTCTGTCAGAAGAACAATGAAGGGTCCACAACCGAAACATCCAGTTCAGAGAACGAAATACCATCACAAGGATAAAATGTGTTATTCTATCAACATATAGAGTGTATATGAATATTAACAAATGTTCAAATATTCTTAGGATGAATAGGAATTTATTACATATAAGATGGTTGTAGAAATTTCAGACGAGTCATTAAACCTAAGTTTTCTTACCAGCTAACACTCGCCATCAGAACGCATCAACACAACATGCGTCAACCAAATCACTCTTGATGGAGATCCCTTGGAGGATGTTAACACTTTTACATATCTGGGAAGCATCATCGACAACCAAGGTGGATCCGATGCAGATGTGAGGGCGCGGATTGGCAAAGCAAGGGCTGCATTTCTACAGTTGAAAAATATCTGGAACTCCAAACAACTTTCAACCAAAATCAAAATAAGGATTTTCAATACTTATGTCAAGACAGTTCTACTGTATGGAGCGGAAACTTGGAGAACTACCAAAGCCATCATCCAGAAGATACAAGTACTCATTAACAGTTGTCTACACAAAATAGTTCGGATTCGTTGGCCAGACACCATCAGCAACAACGTACTGTGGGAGAGGACAAATCAGATTCCAGTGGAGGAGGAAATCAGGAAGAAGCAGTGGAAGTGGATAGGACACACACTACGAAAAGCACCTAACTGCGTCACGAGACAAGCCGTCACATGAAACCCTTAGAGTCAAAGGAAAAGAGGAAGGCCAAGAAACACATTACATCGAGAAATAGAGAAAGATATGAGAAGAATGAACAAAAATTGAACAGAACTGGAAAGGGAAGTCCACAAGACAGAGTTGGTTGGAGAAAACTGGTGGGCGGCCTATGCTCCATTGGGGGTAACAGGCATGAGTAAATAATTAAATAATCAGAACGTATATGGCATGTTGACTAAATACTTCATTAAAACAAACATTACAAGGCCATTCGAAAGAAATGGACACCTACAAACAAGCCTACAGTGATTAAGTGAAAAAACACCACGTATTATATAAATATAAAATTTTCAATACCTCGTTTAAAATCTAATAATAACCAACGATATGAAAAAAATAATTGTCCTTCTGGTAATTTTTTCGCTAAATGATTATTCATTTCTGGATCAAAAATCTAAAAAGTGAAACAATAAAAGAAAAATTGAAATTTGAACAGCGCTTTTAATTTTTGTTTAAGTTGATATTTGACTAATGAAGTTAACTGTGATTGGTCAGTAATAGACATTCAAATATGTCTATCAGTCCAAGCTCAATGACCAATCAAATTAACGTTTCATAGTGCAGCTTTTAGTCATAAATTCGTGGGTTTATTTGTGGTGCGAGCTACTTATAAGTAGTATATGACATGAGTGTCAACGTAATGTCTGGCAGCAGAAGATGGGGGAAGATCAAGAAAGGAAGAGTTAGAAAACAATGGAATTTGTATGAAACGCATGAATAGTGAGTGACAATGGATTGATGTTTTGCAACAGGAACAGTCCAGTTCGATATGATGAACTGATATTTTGCAAATGAACGATCTACGATATGGTTTTCCGATTTTACTGAGTAACTCTGTAATTTTCGTTAACTACAATTCGGTTGCCCTCACCTGTGTTCTCGTTCACTACATATTGACTTAATGGCTTTAAGGGTGGGCACCAAGTTTAAGTCTCTGTATGAACGTCAATATTGATACATTGACCTCGGTGGCTTGGATATGTACTATGAATATTATCCTGACGAATTCCACTCCACTCCATTGGAATAAATGGAGAGGTAGTCAGAGTGTGACATGTTGTCACAACTTGAAAGAAAGATGTACCACTGATATACTATTGAAAACCAGGAAGCATTGAACAGTCCTTTCTTCCAAGTATGGAATTCGTCAGTGGTGTGCATCCGCGATCCCGAAAGTGAGAACTAGACTCAGGAAGTTAAATCTCAAAAGCCAACCTTTAACTTGTAGAATACTGAGTCGGTATACAGGTTTATTTGCAACTAGTGGATGATACTACGTAACCACTTTCGAATGTCTTCAACAGGTATCTTCCTGAGGCTGGATACCGATTACATCTTTGCATTATAACCACTGGGTTGGACTGCCACTTGCAAGGTTGAAGATGGTGATTATTAAGGAGTGCTATATTGAGATGAGATAACCTTTCAAGTGTTCAATAACTTTGATATTTTATCTGGATAAAAAATACAATTAATAAAAAATTATAAAATCGATTTATAGACTATTTCATAGAAAGCATGATCACCATTGGAAACTTGAAAGGACTGTATTACCGTCTCATTATAGGAATCGGAATCACCTATGACCTCATGGGTCGGAATCGAACCTAGGACCTGTTGACTACAGAGGTAGCATCCCAAGGTGTTCATGTCTAACTTTAATCAGTCCACGATATTACGCAAGTATCTTCTATAGTCTTCGGTGGGTAAATGCCTCACATTCAACAAAGATTGAACTCCATCACCAAAGTTTCCGTACTAGAACTCTGAGTTTTTATTACTCTTTTCATGTATGTATTCGATTTCAGTACTATAAATGCTTTTCAACCTTCTTACGACAGCATCAGTACAACTCCTTGTGTGTGTGTGAGGCATTTTTCTCTGCATGGAAGGAATACAACTGCCTCTCTCCTGAAGCTAGTCTATGTCCTGTAGTTCGCACTTGTTCCAAGTACCGCCAGAAAGTATCTTTCCATTTCCTCAGTAACATGAGTGGTTCTTCTGGTCTCCCCAACATTGTGCAAACATTACATGTACGAATAATAATTATTTCTCTGGTTGTCAGCACATACATCAGCTTTGTGACTCCCGAAGAAACTCATCTTTTATTAAGAGAGGTTATAATTCTTCTAAACGAAGACCTACCAACTGCCAGAGCAGAGTTTAAATGGTTAGTAAGTTAGTTTACGTTGGGGACGTTAGATCCCCAAAACCCACTTGGAAAGGATCCTTATTGTGGATTTCCTATGTTTTCACGCATAAGTTGCTCAGTTGACCTTGAGATTACATTTCCCGATCGGGAATGTCCTTGACCGTCAGTGGTTGATGGGTTATTTTAGTACGCTATTTTTGCGTTTCTATCTCGATTCATGTGCTTGTCAACCTCGTACTTTCTGAGTGCATGTTTTAAATGCATTCTCTACGTCTTATCAAGACTTTTTGACCTAGTTAACAGGGTCGAGGACAAACGGATTAGAATAGCCTATCATGTCACTACATCATTGATCTGCGCCCCGTTTACAGAGTAAGTTGAACTCGTATTAGCATTTAAGCATATCAGATTTCTACAGAATATGGTCGCTAACCGTATGCCCAACCTATCATTTTTATCGAGGCTTAAAACTACCAGTCACCTCAAAAGGGCTCTAGGTGGAACAGCAATCGAGTAGAACTCTGGAGAATGCTGTCCAGTAGCCTACGCTCCACCGGGCTGTCGAACTCCGTCATCTGTCGCCCGGTGACCGTCTCCCACGCCGTCTTCCCGGCGGCACCGTCCAGGCTGTCGTACACTGCCTTCACCTCACCTCCCCGCAGCGTCCCCAGCACCGCCAACTCCGCCCCGGGCCCCTTCACACTCACCAGTTCCACCGCGGCCCCAAACTCCTCCAGGAAGCTCCGCAAATCTACGTCCTCAAACTCCTTCGGCCACTAGAGCTCCTTCCTTCGAGCAGGCAGCGACACCAAATGTAGTGAAGAAGAACACAGGTGGGGCAACCGAATTGTATTTAACGAAATTACAGAGTTACACAGTAAAATAGGAAAACCATATCGTAAATCGTTAATTTGCAAAATATCAATCCATCATTTCGAACTGGACTGTTCCTGTTACAAAACATCAATCCCATGTCACTATTCATGTGTTTCATACAAATTCCATTGTGTGTGTCACGGAATACGGAAGGTGATATTAACTGAGCAGGGTCCCTGTTTTGAAAGACTACGACGACAGCTTATTAAAAGGGGGGACGAGTGTGGTGTGAGCTACTTATAAGTAGTATATGACGTGAGTGTCAACGTAATGTCTGGCAGCAGAAGAAGATGGGGGAAGATGAAGAAAGGAAGAGCGGGAACACAATGGAATTTGTATGAAACGCATGAATAGTAGTGAAATGTCAGACAATGGATTGATGATGGATTGAAGATTTGCAAATTAACCGTTTACGATATGGTTTTCCAATTTTACTGAGTAACTCTGTAATTTTCGCTAAATATAATTTGGTTGCCCTACCTTGTGTTCTCGTTCACTACATTAGCGGCTAACAAGCGTAAGTAAATAGGTAAGTAAGTAAGTAAGTAATCAATATACATTGATCAAATAATAACAATCATCCTCTTATTTGTCTCTCAAATCAAAACTTACCTCAATTAAGGATTGTAAAAAAGAAAATCTTAAATCCATACATGGTATTGACAAATCTGTTGAATTAAACAATAATTTATCATATGGTGATTTGATAACATCTGAATTTTGATCATTACTACTGTTATTATTATTAGTAGTAGTAGTATCGTCAGGACATGATGACTGTTCCATGAGTTCATTTGTTAAATCAATAATTTTCTGCAATGGTGACGAAGGTGTGGACAATGATATCGACAGAGATCTTTCTTTGAGTTTATTTGTACAACCTAATGTCTCATCGTTATCAGTAGTATTAGTAGTAGTAAGAGTAGTATCATCTTGACTATACTTTGTGATAGTTCGTCGACGAGCTGCTTTCACAGCTAATTGTAATAAAGTTGTACGTGTCGTTGAACTGTCATTATTATTAGTAATAGTATTACTATTATTATCATTGTTCAATGTTTCATTTGGTGTCAATTTGATTGTATCCATCAATTGAGATGAGCCATTATTATTGACAGTTGGAAAATTTGGTAACATCCATTTCATAAGACAATTAAAACAAGCAAATGATTGAATTTCATTTTGAAAAATGATTAAAATTGGCGCCAACAGATCACACATTCCTTGTATATAACCAATATCTAAATGTAACCATACCCATGTAGAAATGATATTACGTAATTTAATGAGATTAGCATTTAATTCAACGAAATTTTGTAATGATGATTGAGATTCTTTTTCTACAAAAAAAGAAATATATGTGGACAATAGTTTGAACATCTACAATTGGATCAACAACGTCTTCGATAACATTAAATTCACGATGAGAAAGGGATCAAACAACAGCCTATCATTCCTGGATGTACTACTAATCACCAGAACTAACACAGGAAAACTAGAAACTCAAGTATTTCGGAAGCCAACACACACAGACACCTAATTCTCAACTACGACAACAACAACCTAAGAACCCACAAGATCAACTGTATACAAAGACTTTGTTCAAGAGAGCGAAGACACACTGTAGCATATACGAAGCACTCAAAAACGAGGAAAAACACCTTGTGAATATCTGCCAAAAGAACGGCTACCCACGCAACTTCATCAAAAAACATTAACCGAAACCATCATCAGAAGCAAAATCAAACACAGAAACAAATAAATGCATCATCCTGCCATACATCAAAGACATATCGGAGCATACAGAATGACTACTGAAACCATTTGGAATAGGTGTAGCACACAAACCGACAGAATCATTTCAATCAATCCTATGTAGACTAAAGGACAAAATGACAAAGGAAGAAAAACCAAATATCATCTACAAAATAAACAACTGCTCAGACTGCGAAAAACACTACATAGGACAAAGTGGACGACCCCTTCAGCTTCGTTTACGTGAACATCAATTAGCAGTCAAACGCCACGACAACGCTTCGCGTATATGAATACATACCGACAATTATAAACATATATTCGATTGGAACAATGTGGAAATACTGGGTAGGGGGAGCACAAAGAACACTAGACAATTTTTAGAAGCTTGACACTCAGGTCAATCAGTAATGAACAAACGCATTGACATTGACCCAACTTATCAACAAAACAGAATAATGATAGGTGACATAAGATCAAGAACAAGATCAAAAGGTTGATTCAACCAAAGCAAAGGTGCAAACAACGACAGGTTTAAGGTCAACAACAATCAATCAAGATCGAGGTTAACAGAACAAGCTACAGGTCGTGTACGTGGAGAACTTCGAATGCCTCACTTCTATCTGAAGTTTGTCTTGATGATGTTGTTCAGAAGAACAATGAAAGCTCCACTCAACCAAAACATCCAGCTCAGGGAACCAAACACCACCACGAAAATAAGTTGGATTACTGTTGAGCTTAACGAACTGAGAGTGTGACTACAGAGCCCAAGGGACAACTGTTTGAGGCCGGTTACGCACGGCTTTTTTATTGGAAGTTTTTGAAGTATTAGCTCGGTCATTTTTAAAAGTAATAACCTCCGGAGATGGAAATCGGTGGTGTAGGATAAGGTGTGACATTTTTAAGGTCGATCTTTTTTAACCCCCTTCAGCAGAACCAGACAACATTCCAGCAGAAGCAATGAAAGCAGATGTAGAAGCAACTGCGAAAATATTTCACATTCTCTTCAACAAGATTTGGAATGAGGAAAAAGTACTATCAGATTGGAAAAAAGGATTCCTGATCAAAATACCAAAGAAAGGCGATCTTAGTAAGTGTGAGAATTACAGAGCCATCACTCTTCTTTCAATACCAGGCAAAGTGTTCAACAGAGTAGTGTTAAACAGGATGAAGGACTTCGTAGAAGCCCAACTTCGAGTGTGCTGACGAAATTGCAACATTACGGATCATTAAGGAACAATGAATTGAATGGAACTCAACACTCTACATCAACTTCATCGACTACGAGAAAGCACTCGGTAGCGTGGATAGGAAAACATTGTGGAGGCTTCTTCGACACTACGGTGATTGACTGGAATATGAAGACGTTGACATCTGAAGGGAAGCACGGTATCCAATGGACAGGTAGGACGCAACTTGACGATCTGGACTTCGCAGATGACCTGGTTCTTCTATCTCGCACGCAATAACAAATGCAAGAGAAGACGACCAGTGTAGCACCAGCCTCTGCAGCAGTAGGTCTCAACAAACATAAAGGGAAAAGTTAGATTCTACGATACAGCACAACATGCACCAACCAAATAATGCTAGATGGAGATGCCTTGGAGGACGTTAACACCTTTACATATCTGAGCAGCATCATCGACAACCAAGGTGGATTCGATGCGGATATGAGGGAGCGGATTGGCAAAGAAAGGGCTGCATTTCTACAATTGAAAAATATCTGCAACTCCAAACAACTTTCAACCAAAATCAAAATAAGGATTTTCAATACTTATGTCAAGACAGTTCTACTGCATGGAGCGGAAACTTGAAGAACTACCAAAACCATCATCCAGAAGATACAAGTATTTATGAACAGCTGTCTACGCAAAATACTTCAAATCTGTTGGCCAGACACTATCAGCAACAACTTACTGTGGGAAAGAACAAATCAGATTCTAGTGAAGGAGGAAACCAGGAAGTTGCGCAGGAGTTAATGGACAGGACTCGTGTTGCAGAAAGTACACAACTGCGTCACAAAACAAGCCTTCGCCTGGAACCTTCAAGGTCATAGTAATAGAGGAAGATCAAACAGCAGATTTCACTGATAAATGGAGACAGACACACGAGAAGAATGAACAAAAATTGGACTGAATTAGCGAGGAAAGTTTGGGACAGAGTAGATTGGCAAATAATGGTCGGTGGCCTATGCTTAAGTAAGTAAGTAAGTTAGTAAGTAAGCAAGCAATATTTCAAATCATTAAAAGAACAAACATGAAATGTTTACAATTAAAAATTAATGTCAGCACACTTACTTGGTGACATGAAGAATGTATGATTCCGATCACATCTTGTCACATCTTTATCAATTCGATATAAATTGGTAGCAAACAATTCTAGTGTGTTTGGCTAAAAAAAAGAATCACAGAGAAAAACACAACAATTTAACACAATTTTAAAAAATGAAATCGATACTCAACGTTTCGTGAACTCGCTTTGTTTGCATTCACGGTGCAGTGAGATAAAGGAATGTGAATAGAGTTAGTTGTGGAGAGAAGAGAGGTAGGTATTGTGCGGGTGTAGGAAAGATTTGATTTTCACCAATTTGGTCTCTCGTGCTCGATTAGCTTTTGCACCCTGCGTCAATTATGGCACAGGCGAGATATCCGTTTGCTGACTAAAGGACGAGTGTACTGTGCAGTAGTTCGCTCCGTCTTACTTTATGGCTATGAAACATGGCCAGTCAGAGTAGAAGATGTTCGTAGGTTGCTAGTATTCGATCATAGGTGTCTTCGAAGCATTGCTCGTATATCGTGGGACAACCGAGTGAGCAACGCTGTTATTAGGAAACGAGTTCTAGGTAAGAATGGCAGATCAATAGACGCAGTAGTGACACTTCATCAGTTGAGGTGGTTGGGACATGTGTTGCGTATGCCTAACCACCGACTGTCTCGACGAGCTTTGTTTTGTGGTGTAGGAATAGGTTGGAAGAAAGTTAGGGGCGGCCAAACCAAAACATGGAACAAATCCATGAAGTCATTGACGAGTGGACTGAGTCATGTCGGTAGTTGTCGACTACCTGGTTGGGGTCCGCAAGATAATAATAATCGATGGTTAGAGACCCTGAATGACATGGCTCAAAATCGTTCGCAATGGCGCCGGTGTATTTATTCTCTGTGTTTTCTCAAATCCTAATCTTCTGTATTCTTCATTCCCTCTAGTTTTGACTTTCTAAACATTTCTCACTGAATCATACTTCTTGAATAATATCTTCTAATCCTAACCTCTCCGATTACTTGTAATACCTTTACTACCTCTTTTACTATTGGATTTGAATTGACAATTACATCTCTGTGCTGCTGTGATATGGCAACATGAAGTGATGTACTTACGTACGAAGTTCTACGTTGCATCTGACTGACTCGTGCTGTTACGGGTATGAGGGCGGTCGTCACTTCCCAGCTGCTCACACCGTGGAAGGATGTTTCTTGAGGAACCGGAAAAGGAAAGTAGATTAGTGTTGGTCTTAACGACTTGGGAGCGTGACCGCAGAGTCCAAGGGACAACTGCTTGAGGCCAGTCACACACGGCCTTTTTGTGAAAGTTTTTTGAGTATTAGCTCCAACCTTTTTAAAATCCCTTATTGGGCAACCCTTACCACCGGAGACGGAAATCCGTGAGGTAGGGTGAGGTGTGACAGTTTTAGGGTCGACCTTTTCTAACCCTTCCTTCATTGTGAGAAGGCAGCATCACTGCAGATGCTGGTTGTTCGAGGGAAACACGTTACTGCTGTAACATCCCTCTAAGACTTCGCCCTCAGACCTTGGTTTTAGTCTCATCGTTCTCCAATCGACCTGCCTGGCATGGTAAAACCTTCAGGAACATTTGTTCCAGCCAATATAGCTCGGTCGGGTCATCACGATAGTCAAGTTCGACCACCACGTCAAGGTAGCAGCTACGGTTGGGATGCTCGACTCAAATATTGAGTTGTTTGTAGACATATACAACTATTGTAATGTGTGTACTACAATGTATGTTCAGCCTAAATATCTTGTCCTAGCTTCAGAACAAACCAATCAAGCGAATATTTTTCTGCCCGACTTAGTATTGGCACGTCTATTGATTGCATCAATTATTCGCGTAGAATTGTGGTTGCTTTTTACTTGAGTACCTATGTTCGTACTTACTTCACATGTCATAAGTCTATAAAACTTAACAATCTTCACAACCCCGTAATGCAAATTACCTGTGCTCACTAGTGACTAGCTAGTTTCGTGAGGATTCTTCTCCGAGTTCTAGTGGGAAGACGTGACGAGTGAAGTTCAACCTGTTCGGATGTAGACAGTAACTACTACCGAAGACTGTGTATGAGGTTGCGCAACTCCGTGAATTGATTAAGTTAGACATTAACACCGTTAGATACCGGCTCAGTGGTCTGATGGTTAGGCGTTCGCCTACAATACCGAAGGTCCTAGGTTCGAATCCTGGGGGTGCAGGAGTTGTGGATGCGCACCGCTGAGGAGTCCCATACCAGGACGAAGCGCCCATCCAGTGCTTCCAGGATTCTGACGGTAGCCTAATATTGATCGATTCGTGGTTTGAAAATAAAACACATCTATTCTGTTTAGATCTGATTAGAAATATTTAGTCATGCCTCATTACTACATTGAGGTGGCTCACTCATCTTTGCCGCTTCGCTTTGCGTCTAAGCTTTTTATACTGATGTTCGTCTGCGTGAACGATTGCATGAAATGAACTCGCCCAACTCAATCTGTATTTGGCTTCTCATTATCGAGGTTCGCTTAAGATTAGTTTACAGAAATTAGATGATTCTCCGAAACTGAAGTCAGATTGTGGGCCACTAAACTATCTTTGCAATCTGTTTATCTCTTCTGTTTTGTTATTTCGTTCAACGACGCCTTGGAAGTAGGTCAAACTACAGATCATATCTTACTGTCATATGTAAGATAAAATACCAAAGTTTTAAGTTGAACGATTATCAACTTGTTGTCACTATAAAATATTTGAACTTTTGTTGAACATTTTAACAGTAATACACTTCATCTAACTATATATTTTGTTCTGCTATTTTCCTAGTGTTGTAACGCTTGCTTAGATAATTCCCAACTAATTCTTATCGCTTAGTATTCTCTGACCACAGTACACTGGACAAGTTCCAAAGAATCAAGAACACGGTGGAACAGGAAAAGATTGTATTCCAAATAGCCAGGTTGAATGGAAATAAGAAGCCGAAGGTGATGGCGAAGGCAAAATAGATACGTTAGTTTCTTTATAGTCTTTACATGAGAAGCTTCTGGTTAGTAATTCACGTGATCGACTAGATTAGATTTAACCAATCAGCATGCAGCTAACAATACGAGAAATTTGTGCCCTGTTCTCCAATAATCGATCAGGCGCTGATTGGATAGGAAATTAGCCAATCAGCGCGCAGCAACGTAGCTATGCTTTCATTCCATCTATGCCCCACTAACACCTAGGATGATCCTTGGATGAGGGAGAACATTTATTGCTCAGGTTGATGATTTCGGTGAAGTTTCATTCTTTGAGCTGTATGTTTTGACAGTGGAGCTTTCATTTCTATTTTAAACCTCGGAGAAGAGAATTATTTAAAAGTCCTGTTACATAACGTAAATCCTAATGTGTGTGGCATCTTTCGTCCCCTCATTGACCATTTTACTGTTGAATGTCATATGTTTCCCAAGGTCATAGATAAACTAAGCATACATGTTAAATGTAACATGTTCCACTAGGAAGATAGATACCCTGAATGACATGGCTCAAAACCGTTCGCAATGGCGCCAGTGCATTTATTCTTTGTGTTCTCTCAAATCCTAATCTTCTGGATTCTTCAACACCTCTAGTTTTGACTTTCTAAACTTTTCTCACTGAATCACACTTCTTGAATAATATCTTCTAATCATAACCTCTCCGATTACTTCTAATAGCTTTTTACTGCCTCTAATACTATTGGATTTGGATTGACAATTATATCTGTGTGTGTTGATGTGGTATGGCAACATGAAGTGATGTACTTACGTACGAAGTTCTACGTTGCATCTGACTGACTGACTGAGGAAGATAGTCTTCGTTACGGGAAATATGGCATAAACTAAGCCAGAAGAAACTTTCAAGTAACGTTAAAGCTTTAATTGGGATTCTTCAGCCTTCTGATATATTCTTAAAGCAACCGAGACAGCTAAATACAACGAAGAAGACCTCTTCAAGAAGGTAGTCAACTTGTACGTTGCCACAAGGACTCATGGTAAGCGAGAAGTCAAAGTAAATATCCACATGTTATTTCTAGAACGTTCACTGATTATATGTGTATACGGTGACATACTTCTTCACTGACACTACCTCAGAGTGAAACATCAAAGTTTCTAATCCTATGAAAAGTGAAACCTTTCACAAAACAAATACACAGCAAAATCTACGGAATCTAAATATCTCCATTTAGTTCAATAAGTTATCGAAAACGATGTGATAGAGAACTGAATTGAATAAATTAACTTGCTAGCGTCGTTAAAAACTAGAAGACACTGAATAGTGGTTTCATTCTAGTATGGAATTCATCAACAGTATTAGTGGTAACGACTTTTTGGACACGATGAACCTAGTGATTTTTAAAGATTTGGCATTTACTGAGTAATATGAAGGTCTTGGGTTCAACGCCGAAGTGAGGTGTACACTCTTGAAGAGTCCCATATCAAGATGAAACAATCATTTAGTGCTTCTTAATTAGTAAAAGTACCTTGACTGAAATCGATTTTTGATAAATACAACCAATCTGTTAATATAATCACACTAACCGAAAATTCACATTGACTTGGAATTGTACTATTGACAGATGAAGGTGGACTGATGGTAAGATTTGGAGTTTTAGAACCGGAAGTTATATCGAGAAGTGTTGTAGTTCCCGTGCACATTGAGGAACTATTATCTGAAGAAGTAAAAAAAGAGATGGGAAAGATATTTGATCAATATAGCTAATGAACATTACTTACTTACGCCTATTACCCCTAATGGAGCATAGGCTGCACACCAGTTTTCTCCAAACAACTTCGTCCTGGGCTTCCCTTTCCAGTTCTGTCCAATTCTTGTTCATTCTTCTCATATCTTTCTCTATCTCTCGGCCTAATGTGTTCCTTGGCCTTCCTCTTTTCCTTTTGCCTTGAGGGTTCTATGTGAGGGCTTGTCTTGTGACGCAGTTAGGCGCTTTTCGTAGTGTGTCCTATCCACCAACTCCACCGCTTCTTCCTGATTTCCTCCTCCACTGAAATCTGTTTAGTTCTCTCCCACAGTACGTTGTTGCTGATCGTTTCTGGCCAACGAATCCAAAGTATTTTGCGTAGACAACTGTTAATACACATTGTCTTGACATTTGTATTGAAAATCCTGCTTTCGGTTGGGGTTGAAAGTTGTTTGGAGTGAGTTAATGAACTTACTGAAGAAAATATAGTACACTCATGAATTCAAGAATTTTTGTAGACATATCGACTATTGTACTCTCGTGGTGTTTCATTTTCTAAACCAGAGTAATCCACTCTTATTCTTGTCAGTATACATTATGGAGATCGTCGCGTTTCATTGAAATCATGAATCGATCGATTTCGAGCCACGTGGAAGTGTTGAACGGTCGTTTCGTCCAAGTACACGACTCCTCAGCAGTGCGCATTTATGACTCAGTATAAGGTTGTTGGACCTGTAATCTTCAGTCTCTCATGTAAACTATCAATTTATGGGATACTAAGTCGGCATTCAACGGTGTCAAAGTCTAATTTCAATCAGCTGACAATATTGCGCGACGATCGCCAATTGAATTCAGCCAGATAACTACTTCACAGCCGACACAATTGAACTCTACTGGTCATAGCTTCTCACTACAACTCTGAAGCTAATTACTAATGAGCTCATAATGATTATCACTATAGGATTTAGGAAATCATTGAGTTTAATTGAACGACTGTTTCATGCTTACAGGTTTGAATAGTTAGTCTAACATTGACCGGTTCATAATGTCGATGAAATGATCTATGAATTAGTTATCGTTTCTTCAATCTTCAATCTGATTAACGTATATATGTTAACAGTTGAAATTAATCAAGACTAGACATGCGGCTAGATATAACCTTATCCTCGTCTGAATTATCAGGGGGGGACCTTTTAGCAGGAGACACGCTTGCTGGCTTAGAATATGCTGATGACATAGTCCTATTCTGTGAAGACGCTGACAAAATACAGAGTCTTTTGACTACCCTAAACAACAATGCAAACATGTTCGGGATGCGGTTCTCACCCTCGAAATGAAAAATGTTGCTTCAAGATTGGGTTGTATCGGCACCTGAACTAGTGATAGGGAGTGAAGTAGTCGAGCGTGTTGATCACTTCACTTATCTTGGGAGTGAGAGTAGAGCACATTTTTAGGTTATTAGTATCCGATTATAGATATATTCGAAGCATACCTTGTATATCCTGCTGGGACCATCGAGTAAGCAATGTTGTTGTCAATAAACGAGTACTAGATAAGGATGACAAATCAATTAGTGAAATAGTTGAGTTGGTTAGGAAATGTGTTACGTATGCCCAACTACCGACTGCCTTGACGGGCTATGTTTTGTGATGTAGGTTTAGGCTGGAAGAAAGCTTGGGGCGGCCAACCAAAACATGGTACAAATCCATGAAATCACTGACAAGTGAACTGAGTCATGTTGGTAGGTATCGACTACCTGGTTGGGGTCCTCGAGATGTTAGTAATCGATGGTTAGAGACCTTGATTGACATGTCTCCTACTTCTACTATCTCCACCACTATGAGATTTGAACTGACCGTTGCGTCTATGTGCTAATGTGTTATGCCAAGCTGAGCTTATCTATGTACATACGTACGTACAAATTCTACATTGTAACTAACTGACTAATTCATCCAAACTGGATTATTCTTGTTCGAAATACTTAAATTAAATGATACCCACATTTCAACAAAGAGTTTGACAATCAAAGACAATAACTTTCTCTTAACAAAACAAAAACCTACCAGATGAAACATTGTCATTTTTCACATTGCTCTTTAGTTCTTCTCCATCGACAGTATTGTCTACGTTATTCGGTTGTTTTTGTGAATTCTAAAATAAAATTATACCATAAAAATGACATAGAATAGGATTGATTAGTTTGAAAAAACATGCTGATAGGAAAAAAGGCAGGTCATATAATTATTATCAACTATACTGTTACGCCTGCACGTAAACTCGTCAACTTGATATGCTTGAACTATTTACGAGTTTACCTTAGTCGATGAACGAGAGCGAAGAGCGAGGATCCGGCGACACGAAATGCTAATCAAATCCGATTATTCTCAATCCCCATATTAAGTAAGAAATAAGAAGACGTGATATGAAGTAGAACGTGTATTCTACAAGCATCCAGAAAGTACGAGGTCCGAATCCAGAAGAGAATCAGGATCCCGGACTAGGGATCCGGGACCGAGCCCTGGTCCTCTTCGTGGTCATAAAATGTTACAGATAATGCGTATATATACATTTTGGTCGAATAGGAAACAGCATCGAACTCTATGATATTACCAGTTAGAACAACAAATAGGAAGCAACATTTGAAGTGACATCGATAGTCAGGATAACCAATAAGAAACAACATTGGAGTAGGTGACATTGATATCTAGGACGACCGTAAAATTGGCCAGTAGGAATTAAGCAATAATTCTCTTAGGATATTGGATGTGAATATCCCTAACATATACAAAAGCGATAAGTCTGTTAAATGCATGTAAAATTTGATTTCTCATTTGATTCTAATAATATTTTCAGACTAAATCTACACTGTTTTGTTAACATCGTTATTTAGGGAAGAGGCAAGGCGACACCAAGACAGGTTATCATAAAGTTCTTAACTGCTCAATGAATTACTCACGACAATCAATGTTGTAAATGGAATGTCCTTTGTTGAAGTCATGTTTGGAAGAAGTATTTGGATCATTTTCAAATGCAATGTTGCTGCCTAAAATAGTGGATGACCACATACAAATTCAGTATGTCAGGAGCCTCAACATGGGTAATAAAGTAGTCGTCAGATGAATCCATGGGAACCCGGATTGATTAAGAAGAGACTAGGGAAAGCCTTAGAACATGAATCAGATATCCTAATGATAGCAGATTCCAAGGACGCTATAAAGAAGAAGGGAAGAAAAGATTGGATAGGGAAAATATCGAAAGCGTTCGAAAACCTTCGCAAACAAGTAGTCAAGCTATAAGTAGATCCAAATAAGTCGTTCTATTTTATAAAAGAGGAAAGGTGTTAGGAAGCTCCGAAATATCTCCCAGAAAGGTCTGTGGGGGTCCAGAAAAGGTACGAGAACATTTCATTTGATTTGATTCTCAGAAAAATAATATAAACATGCTAACCTCGATCTTGATTGGTTGCTGTTGAGGTTAGCAGAACAAACTACAGGTCAAACGTGGAGAAATTCTAGTGATTCACTTCTATTTGAAGTTTGTGCTGATGATGTTGTTCAGAAGAAAACTGAAAGCTCCACAACCAAAACAACCAGTTCAGAGAACGAAACACCACCACAATGCAAATAAGCGCATGTCATCATTAGTGGAGCATAGGCCATCATCCAGCATTCTCAAACCTACTCTGTCTCGGGCCTGGTTTTTCATTTCTATCTAACTGGTGTTAATTCTTCTCATGTCTGTCACCGATCCTAGGAGCAGTGTGTGTCCTTCGCATTTCAACGGTCTGTCCTGACTTTTTCGGCTTGCGGTCCCAATGGAATTCCTGCCGACCCCAAACTAGGATAAAGTAGGAGGGTCGGGCAAGGCGTTAGCGACCCCATCCTGTAGAAAAGTAACTCGTTAATCAAACGCTGACGAGAAAAAATAGTACAAACCTTCTCAGAAACGTCTGGAAAATGAAGCGTCATGCGCCATGCTTCCAACTGGATATTTAACCATACCGCTATTATGTATAGCATGTTTCGCGAACGTTCTAGGAGTACTATATATATACATAAATTCTATATATAATCTCTATATATAACTTAATTTTTCTGTACATCAAGTAGGTGCTCTTCTCGTTCTCCGTGTTGTTTCTCTTGTGTTGTTCAAGTTGCAGTGAGGATATAGTCTAGGGTTATTAGAAGCGTATAGGAAGTCAGAACTTGTGTTCATTTAGCGAATTTATCGCAAAGATACTACAATCTCTGATCCAATTACAATAATACTTTTGAACTAAAACAACTGTGTATACTACCTCTACTACTACTATTGGATTTGAATTGACAATCTCGTCTCTGTGCTAATATGGTATGGCAACTTGAACTGATGTACGTATGTACGTATGAAGTTCAACGTTGTAACTGACTGACTGACTGACTGATTGACTAGGCAAATGTTAGTGGTAGAGATTTGTTCTTCGAACTTCCAATGTTTGATGCCACGTAATAGGAAAATAAATCCAATTTACTTTCTATCCTCAAGAGCCAGACGAATATGCACGGATAGTGTTAGGATATTCATCCAATATCCTAAGAGAATTATTGATCAAATCCTTCCTATTGGTCAATTCTTATTGGTCAAGATTATGGTCGTTTTAACTGTCAAAGTCAAATACTTCAATGTCATCTCTTATTGGTCATCCGGACTTTCAATGTCGTTTCAAATGTTGCTTCCTATTCGTTGTTCTAACTGGTAATATCATAGAGTTCGATGCTGTTTCCTATTCGACCAAAATGTATAAATACGCATTATCAGTAACATTTTATGACCACGACCAGGACCAGGGCTCGGTCACGGATCCCTAGTCCGGGATCCTGATTCTCTTCTGAACTCGGACCTCGTACTTTCTGAATGCTTGTAGAATACAGGTTCTACTTCAGATCAAGTCTTGTCTTCTTTTACTCAATATGGGGGTTGGGATAATCGGATTTGAGTAGCATGTTGTGTCACCGGATTCTCGATCCTCGCTCTGGTTTTCCGACTAAGGGGTAAACTCGAAATAGTTCAAGCATATCAAGTTGACGTGTTTACTTGCAGGCGTAACAGATAGTACATTAGAAAATAGGCTGATTATAATGCGCAGAACATTATAGGAGAGTGGTATCTCGTCTATGTTCATTGACAGTAAGCTAAAATCTAAACATCGGGTTGAAATTAGAAGAAAAAGTGTATTTTCCTATTTATAAGTATAAGGGGGGTTAAATGATTCTAACTAGTTTGGTCTCGTGTGCTGTTACGTGTATGATGACGGATGTCACTTCTCGGCCGACCATACCATGGAAGGGTATTACTTAAAGGATCTGGAAAAGAAGCTGGATTAGTGTTGAGCCTAACAACATGGGAGCGTGATCGCAGAGCCCAAGGGAAAACTGCTTCTGGTCGTTCACGCACGATCTTTTTATGGGAAGATTGTATGGTGTTATCTCTGCTCTTCAAGTGGTCATATCAGGCAGAAATCCGTGAGGCCCGACCGTAGCTGCTACCTTGACGTGGTGGTCCGGCTTGCCTGTCGTGATGACCCAACCGAGCTATACTGGATAGAATATATGTTCCTGCAGGTCCTACCATGCCAGGCTGGTCGATTGGAGAACGATCAGACTAAAAGCAGCTACTCAAGGTCTGAGGGCGAAGTCGTACTGCTCACTGCAGAGGGGTGTGACAGCAGTAAGGTGTTTCCCTCGGACAACCAGCATCTGCATCGATGCTGCCTTCTCACAAGGAAGGAAGGTTTAGAAAAGGTCGACCCTAAAAATGTCACACCTCCCCTACCTCACGGATTTCCGTCTCCTTCGGTAAGGGTGTCCACTAAAGGCCTTTAAGAACGGAGCTAATCCTCAAAATACCTTTCATAAAAAGGCCGTGCGTGACCGGCCTCAAGCAGTTGTCCCTTGGACTCTACGGTCACGCTCCCGCTCTCCAAGACCAACACTAATCTATCTTCCTTTTCAGGTCCCTCAAGGAACAACCTTCCATAGTGTGGGCAGCCGGGAAGTGACAACCGTCCTCATACCCATAACCATCTGACTGAAATCCGTGAGGTAATGTGAGGTGTGACAGTTTAAGGGTCGACCTTTTCTAACCCCCTTCCTTCCGCTGGAGATACTGGTTGTATGAGGGGAAGACGTTACTGCTGTCTCACCTCTCTACAGTCCGCAGTATGCAATTTCTCCCTCAGACCTTGAGTAACTGTTTTGAGTCTCATCGTTCTCCAATCGGCCTGCTTGACATGGTAGAACCTGAAGGAGCACGTAATTTAGCCAATATAGGTCGGTTTGTGTTCAGATGGTCACTAGATATGCTTGAAATTACTACAGGTTCACCTTAGTCGAATAACTAGAACGAGACAATGAACGAGCATCCCGGCTGGCTACTCTGATCCATTGACCCAAAACAGCTAACGAGAAGTCTTGATGATATAGCGTAGAAAAGTATATTCTACAAACACACTCAGCAAGCACAATGCATTCAAGTACACACACCATAGAAACGTCCTTGGGACAGTCATTAAAATAGCACACTAAAATAACACAGCAACCAATCACAGCCAAGGATTTTCTTGGTGGGAAATAAAATCTCAAGGTCAACTGATCAGCCCATGCTTTCAAACCTCAGATCCAAAATTAAGGCATTTATCAAGCGAGTTCTGGCGATCTAACATCGCCAACAGTTCGGTCACTTCTGATTGACTCACTTTTCACAGAGTATATTACTTACTAACTTACTTACTTACGCCTGTTACACCCAATGGAGCATAGGCCGCCCACCAGTTTTCGCCAGCCAACTCTCTCCTGGGCTTCCCTCTCCAGTTCTTCTGTCCAATGTTTGTTCATTCCTCTCATATCTTTTTCTATTTCTCGGCGTAATGTGTTCCTTAGCCTTCCTATTTTCCTTTTGCCTTAAGGGTTCCATGTGAGAGCTTGTCTTGTGACGCAGTTTGGTGCTTTTCTCAGTGTGTGTCCATCGCTTCTTCCTGATTTCTTCCTGAACTGGAACATGGTTTGTTCTCTCCCACAGTTCGTTGTTGCTGATCGTGTCTGTCCAACGAATCCGAAGTATTTTGCATATACAACTGTTCATAAATACTTGTATCTTTTGGATGATAGCTTTGGTAGTTCTCCAAGTAGAACTATCTTGACATTTGTATTGAAAATCCTGATTTTGGTTTTAATTGAAAGTTGTTTGGAGTTCCAGATATTTTTCAATTGTATAAAATGCAGCCCTTGCTTTGCAAATCCACGCCCTCACATCTGCATCGTCGGATCCACCTTTCTCGTCGATGATGCTGCCTAGATACGTAAAGGTGTTAACGTCATCCAAGGCATCTCCATCAAGAGTGATTTGGTTGGTGCATGTTTTGTTGCATCGGAGAATTTAGCTTTTTCCTTTGTGTATGACAGTATATTACTTTTTTATGTAAAATGCGTACATAAATTCCTCTGCACACTTCACTCCTATCAAACAGTAATACAATCAGTACTAGCTGGCTTATTTTTTCCACAAAGAATATAAATTCAAAAAGGGATCACTTACCATTTCGCCATTCAATAATAGCAATTCCGTCGGATTTAAATCTTTCTCAACTTCACTGGCAACAACTGGTGCTGGTGCTGGTGATGGTGATGAAACAGTTGTCACAAAACTAGCATAACGTACATCTTGTTTTAAATATTCTACAACACGTAACCATGTATGCAAAGCATTCGTGTAAATTTTTGTTTGTTCCATATTGACCGCGTTCAATTGTTCAATAGTTGAATTCCATGTATATAAACCTAATAAATATGGCCATACCTAAAATTATGTGAATATAAATTGAACAGGAAAGGGAAAACAATCTGATTTTTGTCATTTCAATAGTATATTAAGATGTATATTAGTCAGTGTTAGGACATTCTAGTACTTAGCTTAGTTACTTACTTATGCCTCTCACCTATAAGGGAGCAGACGCCACCGACTAGCATTCTTCAACCAACTCTAACCTGAGCCCATGTTACGAGAAGGCAGTTAATGAGATTTCTCTGGCATTATCTACACACACACACATATGGTCATATTGTGGTGTGAGCTACTTATAAGTAGTATATGATGTGAGAGTCAACGTAATGTCTGGCAGCAGAAGAAGATGGGGGAAGATCAAGAAAGGAAGAAGAGTGGGAACACAATGGAATTTGTATGAAACGCATGAATAGTGACAATGGATTGATGTTTTGCAACAGGAACAGTCCAGTTCGATATGATGAACTGATATTTTGCAAATTAACTAACGATTTACGATATGGTTTTTCGATTTTACTGAGTAACTCTGTAATTTTCGTTAACTACAATTCGGTTGCCCCACCTGTGTTTTCGTTCACTACAATAGTACTTAGCTTAGTTACTTACTTACGCCTCTCACCCATATGGGAGCAGACGTCACCGACTAGCATTCTTCAACCAACAACTCTATCCTGAGCCCATGTTACGAGAAGGCAGTTGGTGAGACTTCTCTGGCATTATCTACCCACACACACATGGCCATATGAGAGCATTTGAAGAGCGAATGTGGATCCTCCTCATTTGGGGTCTGGAAGAAAGCTAGGAGAGACCAAACCAAAATGTGAGGAGCGGCGTATGAGATTATCCCCGTCACCAGTTGTTACGTTCATCACTAAGTATGCTTGAGGCTATTACGAGTTTATCTTAGTCGATAAACGCGAACAAGACAATTACCAGCGTCCAGGTAGGCTACCTTGAATCCCCAAATAGAGTAAAAGAGCTTTGTAAGCGTAGAAAGTATATTCTACAAACACTCAGCAATCACACTGCAATCAAGCACACAACTCCCGTTTATTTATACAACATAGAAACGTCCTTGAGACAATTAAGAAAATAGCACACTAAAATAACACAGCAGCCAATCACAGCCATGGATTTTCCTGGTTGGAGATGAAATCTCAAGGTCAACTGATCAGCCCATGCTGGCAAACGTGAAAACCAAAATTAGGCATTTATCAAGCGAGTTCTGGGGATCTAACATCCCCAGCACAAAACATTGATACACTCCATGAAGTCATCAACAACTCAGTTGAGCCATGTTGTAGACTACCTGGTCAGGGTTGACGTGACAATCATAACCGGAGGTTAGTCAGTTTGAATGACATAGCTGAAAATCATTCATCCATTCTTTGTCTTCCGCCGAATTCGCAGCTACTGAATTTCTCATGACCATTTTATTTTACTGATATTAAATTTATTCCACAAATTTATATTTTCTTAAATCTTATCTTTTATAATGATGATACGCTGTTTTCATTCAATTAACTAACGTGTTCAGTAAAGTCATGAGTTTGCAATGAATGAACTATAGTTTGATATATTGATAAACTTTTGCAGCTGAAACGTTTGGGTTAGGCATTTGTAGTGTGTTAGGATATTCATCCAATATCCTAAGAGAATTATTATTGGTCAAATCTTATTGGTTAATTCCTGCTGGTCAGTTTTATGGTCGTCCTAGATATCAGTGTCACGTGTTCCAATGTTATTTCTTATTGGTTGTCCTGACTATCAATGTCATTTCAAATGTTACTTCTTATTGGTCGTCTTAACTGTCAATGTCACAGACTTTGATACTGTTTCTCATTCGACCAAAATGTATAAATACGCATTATCTGTGACATTTTACGACCAGGACCAGGACCCGGTCCCGGATCCCTATTCCGGGATCCTGATTCTCTTCTGTATCCGGACCTCATACTTTCTGGATGCTTGTAGAATACAGATTCTACTTCATATTAAGTTTTGTCTTCTTATTTTTACTAAATATGGGGGTTGTGATAATCGCATTTGATTAGCATGTCGAGTTGCCGGATCCTCGATCCTCACTCTCATTTTCCGACTAAAGTACACTCGTAATAGTTCAAGTATGTCAAGTTGACATGCTTACGTGCAGGCGTACCATAGTGTTAGACTGAATTTCTGAGCTGAGTTTACAAAATAACTTTAGAGTCGGTTTTCTGAACTTGATATTAGGGATAAGGCAATGCAACATATCACGCCTTTGTTAAAAAATCTTTAGAAATTTAAGATTGTGATGTAGAATAAAAGTTAAAATAGGAGAACACCATCTAGGCATCACTGAACATTTTTGACTACGCATTCAGTCACAACAAGTAATTTAACATACAGTTCGCGTTAACAGCAATTATGTTTGGTAATTTGGTTTATCAACCAACTCAAATTCACTTTTTCCTTTCATAATAAATATTTCAAGTATTTTAAGGAACAAATACTGTCCGATCTTACTTCATTATGAAAAGCATACAAGTTATCTGTCATAAGACTTTAAATTAAGTGCACCATTGTTACGCATGCAAGTAAACATGTCATTTGATATGCTTGAACTATGACGAGTTTACCTAAGTCGGGAAAACGAGGGTGAGGATCGATGATTCGGCGACAAGACATGCTACTCTAATCCTATTATCCTAACCCCCCATATTGAGTAAAAGAAGAAGACTTGATATGAAGTAGAACGTGTATTCTACAAGCATCCAGAAAGTACTAGGTCCGAATCCAAAACAGAATCAGGATCACGGACTAGGGATCCGGGTCCAGGTCCGAATCATAAAACGTTTGAGTAATGAGTATTTATACAGTTAGGTCGAATAAGAAACAGCATTGAAGTCTGTGACATTGACAATTAGGATGACCAATAAGAAACAACATTTGAAGTGACATTCATAGTTAGAACGACCAATGGGAAACAACATTTGAAATATGTGACATTGACAGTTAGGATGACCAAAATATTGATCAGTAGGAATTGACCAATAGAATTAGACTTACAAAATAATTCTCTTAAGATGTTTGATGAATATCCTAACAACAATACTTGAGACATTACTATAGTCATGATTGTTCAACTCAAGGTCATTAGTACTTTATGCCTTAACCCTAATTATTCCACTAGGTCAGGACTTTTATCCCTATTCAATGCTTATTAAACATGCGATACTTATCATCCGTTCACTGAAGATTTCATTTCGACCTATCATTATATATCTACTTTGAATACAATAGTAGCACATTCAAACAAGACAAATGAAAGATAAAGTAAGTAGAGCGAAAGTTGAAGTCAGTCAGTCAGTTGCAATATAGAACTTCGTACGTATGTACATCAGTTCAAGTTGCCATACCACGTTTAACACAGAGACGCAAATGTCAAATCAAATCACATAGTGATAAAGATAGTAGAGGTATTAATGGTAATGAAGAAGACTAGAGGGTTTGAAGATATTATTCAAGAAGTATAATTCAGTGAGATAAAGTTAGAAAGACTAAGGGAGAGGTGCTGACGAATCCAGAAGATTAGGATTAGAGAGAGCACAACGAATGGATGCACTTGCGCCATTGCAAACGATTTCGGGCCATGTCGTTCAAGGTGACTTTCGTCTCGCGGACCCCAACCAGGTAGTCGACACCTGCCGACATGGCTAAGTCCACTTGTCAATGACTTCATGCATTTCTGCCATGTTTTGGTTTGGCCACCCCTAGCTTTCTCCCAACCTACTCCTACACTACAAAACAAAGCTCGTTGAGGTAGTCGGTGGTTAGGCATAGGCAACACATGTCTCAACCACCTCAACTAGTGAAGTTTCAGCACTTCATTTATTGATCTGCCATTCTTACCTAGCACCCGATTCCTAATAACAGCGTTGCTCACTCGGGTGTCCCAGGATAAACGAGCGGTGCTTCGAAGACACCTATGATCAAAAACCAGTAACCTACGAACATTTCCTACTCTTAACGGTCATGTTTCGCATCCATAAAGTAAGATGGAGCGAACTTCTGCGCAGTACACCCGTCCGTTGGTTAGCGAACGGATATCACGCCTACGCCATAAGTGACGCAGGTTGGCAAAGGCCAATTGAGCCAACCTGCGAAAGTTGAAACATGAAATCTAATTCCAAGTGAAAATGATACTCTTCTTCATTTATACTCAGTACTTTTATGCATTGCAGCAAGCATATTGAACATTGACAGGTAGTTGCGCTACATACAAATGAACAAACACATACCTTTTCTCTAATAACTTTTGTTTAAATCTTTACATGAATCCATCATTAATTAATCGCGAGTGGTGCACAAAATAAATTTCTATTTCGTTTAGGTTTTTTTAAAACAAAACACACATTGAACAATGAACAGTGAAACAAAATTTATCGTTATTTATTTCTAACGCTAACCAAAAAATGAATAGTATCACAAATTAGTTTACACTGATAAAAACAGAAGTAAAGCTATGGTGTGTGCTACTTATACGAACGATATAAGTAGTAGTATAAGAAGGGACGTGAAACAAGAATTCGCACGGTCAGAAGAGGAAAACGGAAAGCAAATGGAGCAAAAAGCAAGAAGTAAATGGAGTAGTACCAACAGGAAGGAAAGGAAGCAACAACAGGAATGGAAGAAGGATGGAGTGTTGGAAGTCACGATCCAAAGATGGTGTGCAAATAGAGTATTCAATGTAATGTTTTCGTTTTGTTGGGCAATTCCTGTTCCAATCCCCGGTTCCTACGCAAATATAGCATTTATTATTTCTTCCACCCTTTATTCGTAACGCTGCCACCTCGCGTTGTAATTCTTCTATCTTCTTTGCGATATCATTAGCCTGTCTCTCACACGACATCGAGGCGACTGTTGTGTTCATCAGCTGTCTCGTTACTTTTGCCAGCTCGGTGACGTCCATTGGTTGTGCGGCGTTCACCAGTCTCAACTGTTGGGCAACCTCTGCAGGCACACTTTCAATGAATTGCGACGCTAGCAGCTGTGCTTGCGACTCCTTATCCAAATTCAGCAGACCCCGGCGCAGCAATCTTGTCAACTCCACAGCCAGCACATCCACCGTCAGTCTCGCCTCTCGGAACTTCTGCCTATCCGCTCGGCTGTCGAACTCCACCAGCAGCCTTTCCGTCACCACCTCCCAGTCAGCGTCCTGCACACCATCGTACACCGCTCTCGCTCTGCCTCTTAGTAGAGTCCCCAACACCACCACCTTCGCCCTCTGCTCCTTGACTCCCACCAGCTCCGCCAAGGCTTCGAACTCATTCAAGAAACTCCTTACATCTCCGTCTTCAAACTCCCGAGGCCATGGGATCTTCATCATGTGTAGAGGCAGCGACACCAATTGAGAAGACTGATGCAGGCGAAGAAGATTGTATTATGCAAGTTTACACTCTGAGTCAATTAAAAACAAAAACATTACATTGAACACTCTATTTGCACACCATCTTTGGGTCGTGACTTCCAACGCTCCATCCTTTTTCTTCAATTCCTGTTGTTGCTTCCTTTCCTTCCTGTTGGTACTACTCCATTTACTTTTTGTTTTTGCTCCATTTGCTTTCCGTTTTTTCCATTTCTGACCGTGAGACTTCTTCTTCTTTCACGTCCCTTCTTTTATACTACTTACATCGTTCGTATAAGTAGCACACACCACAAAGCAAACAATCAAAAAACTAGTAATGTGTTTACCTCATTTCTTATGGTTGGATCACAATTACCAAAATAAATATGTCGACAAAATTCATTGAATGTAATTTGCTGTAAATAAAAAAAATGATTGGATGAAAGAAGTTCAATTTATGTGAATAATTATAATTGTTTAATCAAACTGTTTAATTTGGTACCTGAGAAACAGAGAGAGAGAGAATGTGTGTGTGAGTTTGTGTGTGTATTATGATGTGCGGTTCCGGTAGTGATACGTGCTAACTCTCTAAAAAATAGCTAGGGGAAGAACAGTCAATTTTCCTGTCGAATCATATGTACAAATATTCAGATATTACTTACTAACACCTGTTGTAGTGAATGAGAACACTGGTGAGGGCAACCGAATTGTATTTAACGAAAATTACAGAGTTACTTAGTACATTCGGAAAACCATATCGTAAATCGTTCATTTGCTAAATACCAGTTCATCATATCGAACTGGACTGTTCCTGTTTCAAAACATCAATCCATTGTCACTCACTAGTCATGCGTTTCATACAAATTCCATTGTGTTCCCACTCTTCTTCCTTTCTTGATCTGCCCCCATTTTCTGCTGCCAGACATTACGTTGACACTCACATCATATACTACTTATAAGTAGCTCACACCACACTGTTACCTCTGATGGAACATAGGCTGCCAACCAGTATCTTCTAACCTAATCAGTTCCGGGCCTTCCTTTCCACTTAGAAAAGGAATCTATCTGTTGGCCAATGATATGTACTTGTTCTTTAGGACATTTCTGATGGTCATTCCTGCCTGGTTCATTCTATCATTGTGTGTATGTGGATGGATCCAACGCGTCATCTTCAGGATCATTATTCTGATCCGTTTAATCGAAAATATCTCCACTTGATCAACGCATAACTTTAGTAAACAGATCATGTTAAGGCGTGCATTGGATTTATCCATTCGAAAACCTAACATCATGGTCACCAAGGACCAGTTGATCATGGCTTGAATTATTAGGTTTGTAAACAAAAACTGTCGTGTTTACATCTTACAGGATTTAGGTATATTTTTTGAGATATACATAACAGTAATAGTGTTACACATTTCTATTTATTGATCTAAAAGTCGCAAGTTAATGAACCGGCTGCTGAAGAGTCGTTATAAAATAGTTGTTATTTCTTGTTTCGCAGTACTTTTTTGGTTGACAGCACCTTAAAGAAGCCTTCAGAAGCTAAGAAAAACAGTGACAATCTTTAATCTGATCTCAGAGAATTCTAGACAAACGATGATTAATGTCTCATGTGCTACGGATCCAGTAACTAATCTTGGTACATTGCTACACACAGAGACTTTAAAATACACATGCATTATTTGGATATAAAATTGACCCTAAAAGTAATAATCTTTTCATGAATCTTACATTTTATCTTTTGTTTGAGACTCGAGATTAGGAGACATCTGTAGACTAGGAAGCATTCAAATACCAGGACGTTATCATTTTCATAACCGCCTAAAACTTTATTTTTAGTATCATGAATTAAAAATTGATGAGCGAATATTATTTCAGTTTATAATTCGTTACATTCTAAACGCGCGGTATGGCATGATAAGTTTTCATAGTTTAAACTAACAACTGATCTTAGTCAGATTATTGATGAAGACCCGATATTAATAAACAGCCGTTTCTTTGTAGAATGGGACACAGCGTACGCGGGAATCGAACCTAGTACATTTAGATGCACACGCAAAATCCTGACCTGTAGATCACACAAATCAGTGGATAACAATGTTGGTGTCTAACATGAATACTAAGGCACAAAATGAATAACTATCTCACACCTGACATGAATTAAAACTCCATTGGTGATCAAGCACCTCATGAAAACTTCCAAAATTTTGTCTTTCAACTAGCTCCTAGTGACAGAAATGGCCAGAAAGCATCAGCAACAACCTACTGTGGGTAAGAACAAACCAGATTCCAGTAGAGGAAGAAATCAGGAAGCAGACCTAGAAATTGATACAATACATATTGAGGAAAGCACCACACTGCATCACAAAACAAACCCTCACTTGGAATCATCAAGACCAACCGAAAAGAGGTAAGTCAAGGAACACACATAAGGCTGAGAGAAGATTGGATAGCAATAACCGGACAGAACTAGGAAGGAAGGTCAAGGACAGAGTAGTTTGCAAAATGCTAGCCGGTAGCCTATCCTTCATTAGAGGGAACAGGTGAAAGTTTGTAAATAAGTTCCTAGTGCACACACAATCATTACTTCCTTAGTTACGCCTGTTACCCCCCAATGGAGCATAGGCCGCCCACCAGTTTTCTACAACCTACTCTATCTTGAGCTTCCCTTTCCAGTTCTATCCAATTTTTGTTCATTTTTCTCATATCCATTCCCGTTTCTCGTCGTAATGTGTTCCTTGGCCTTCCCCTTCTCCTTTGACCTTGAGAGTGCCAAGTGAGGGCTTGTCTCTTGATGCAGTCGGGTGCTTTCCACAGTGTATGTCCTATCCATCAACTCCACCGCATCTTCCTCATTTCCCCCTCCACTGTAATCTGGTTTGTTCTCTCTCACAGTCGGTTGTTACGCCTGGCGCTGACAATCATGATCAATAAAAGTTCAACAACAACAACGGATAAAACAAATCTTACTGGAATCGATTTAGTCATTAATTGATTCCATAATTCTATAGTGATACCATCTTTAGCATTGGTCGGTGAATCAATAGTTAACAGATTCGGTGATACAAGATCAGTTAGTTTTTTACGTACAATACGTATTTTCTTAAAATAATTATACCCTGACGTAAAAAAAAAAAAACAGAAAAGTAAGATGAAATGGAGAAAATTAGTTTAGAAAATTGAAACAAAGAATACCGAATTCATAACTCAATTTGTGTACAAGCTGAAGTTGATTTTAGTAACATTTTGTGACCAATGGTTGTTCTCCAAATCGTTTGATCGATAGTCACGTGATAAAAAATTATTAAGCACCAATCAAAATGCAAATTCACAATACCAGGAGCCTTGAGATCAGTACTCAATTCTGATTGGTTCATAATATGATAGCATTTTTCATTTGTATTGCGTTACTTTTAGTCAAGAAGTTCCTTAGTCAGCTTCCGCAAACACTTCATTATATTTTAAGCAGACATAGTTTATATACCAAATGTACCAGATATATCCGTTTGCTGACTAAAGGACGAGTGTACTGTGCAGTAGTTCACTCCGTCTTACTTTATGGCTGTAAAACATGGCCAGTAAGAGTAGAAGATATTCGTAGGTTACTGGTTTTCGATCATAGGTGTCTTCGAAGCATTGCTCGTATATCGTGGCACACCCGAGTGAGCAACGCTGTTATTAGGAAACGGGTGCTAGGTAAGAATGGCAGATCAACAGATGAAGTGGTTGGGACATTTGCTGCGTATGCCTAACCACCGACTGCCTCGACGAGCTTTGTTTTGTAGTGTAGGAATAGGTTGGAAAAAAGCTAAGGGCGGCCAAATCAAGACATGGCAGAAATGCATGAAGTCATTGACAAGTGGACTTAGCCATGTCGGCAGGTGTCGACTACCTGGTTTGGGTCCGTGAGATGATAGCAGTCGATGGTTAGAGACCCTGAATGATATGACTCAAAATCGTTTGCAGTGGCGCAGGTGCATCCACTCTTTCTGTTCTCTCTAATTACAACCTTCTGGATTCGTCAAAACCTCTACTTTTAACTTTCTAAACTTTTCTCATTGAATCATACTTCATGAATAATATCGTCTTATCATAACCTCTCCGATTACTTCTAATACCTTTACTACCTCTTCTACTATTGGATCGGAATTGACCATTACATCTCTGTGCTGACGCGGTATGGCAAACTGAACTGAACTTATGTACTTACGTACGAAGTTCTATGTTGCATGTGACTGACTGACTAACACATCATAAAATGAGAAAATCTATTTATACATGAAGAAGCCCAAAAGTCAGTATGAATGGAGAGGAGTCTGTGAATGATAAAGTAACTGGCAAGAGATTAGAAACAATGAATCACATAACAATGATTAACGAAATCATGAACACTGAACGGCTGTTTCATTCTAGTATGGTGCTCATCAACAGTACGCATCCACAAGCCCCCGTACGCAAGAATAGAACTTAGAACCTCCAGTCTTGTGCGCGGACGCGAACGCCTAACCTCTAGACCACTGAGCCCCATACAAGCACGAAGTGGTGGCCCAATGATTTCAAATTTCTAATGGTACTCAAACATCGATCAATTCATGATTTCCGTGCAACTCAATCATTATCACAACCCTAAAATGAAAAATAGTGTACCACTGCAAAAAAAACAGGACAAACTTACATTTACGAAATACATGTGATAATAATTTCATACGTAATTTATGAAAAACATTTTCATGTTGAGATGATATTTGACTGTTCAACTGTCCATGCATCTCATTCGATTCATTAATAGTTTCTTCTGATATGCCCTCTAAAGAAATTCGTTTCGGTAAGATCGGTGAAGTGATGGGATGATTTATTATACCTTTTGGAGAATTCTTCAAGTTTGAATAAAAATATTTAGAAAAAGGGATAATAAAATCAGATTTTTTTCATCAAAATAAATCAATAATTACACATTTTTTGAAACCATGAATCAATCATTGTTAGACCGCTTTTAGAAACCTGGAAGCAGTGAAAGACGGCCGGTTCGTCCTGTTATGGGACTCCTCGGCAGTGCGCATCCACGAGTCCTGCACCCCACAGGATTCGAACCCAGGACCTTCGGTACAGTGCGCGAACGCCTAACAATCGTCACAACCCCATAATGCAAATCAGTAATTGTCAATAGAAGGATATAGTTGAAAAATTAATTATTTAGTCAGAATGATATTTTTAAAAATTGTGATAGCTTATTTTGTTTGGGATTCAAGCTTTGAATTATGTATTGAGATAAAATGAAAAATTGTTTGTTTGTTCAACAGCACACATGAGGCACTAAAAAACATGAGGAAAAACATCTGATGACTATCTTCTAAGAAGAACGACTATCCACGCAACTTCATCAAAAAAATATCAACTGAAACCATAAACAGAAGCGAAATCAAGTACAGGAACCAGTAAACGGATCATTCTACCATACATAAAAAACATATCGGAGCGTACATCACAACTGCTGAAACCATTTGGGATAGGTGTGTAGCACACAAACCAACAGAATCACTTCAATCAATCCTTTGTAGACCAAAGGATAAAATGACAAAGGAAGAAAAACCAAATATCATCTACAAAATAAATTGCTCAAACTGTGAAAAACACTACATAGGACAAAGTGGACGTCCCTATTCAGCTTCGTTTACGTGAACACACATTAACAGTAAAAACGCCACGACAACGCTTCGCTTATAACAATACACATCGACAATTATGGATAAACATTTGATTGGAACAATGTGGAAATACTGGGTAGAGGGAGGACAAAGAACACTAGGGAATTTTTAGAAGCTTGACATTCAGGTCAATCAGCAATCAACAAACACATCAACATTGATCCAATTACCCGACCGAACAGAATAATCATAGGTTACATAGGATCAAGAAACAGATCACAATGTGGATACAATCAAAATAAAGGTGCAAACAACGACAGGTTTAAGTTCAACAGCAACCAATCAAGATCGAGGTTAGCATAACAGGTTACAGGTCAAACGTGGAGAAATTCGAAAACCTCACTTCTTCTATCTGAAGTTTGTGCTGTTGATGATGTTGTAGTTCAGAAGAGAACACTGAAGAACATGAATGAATGGTCCACAACCAAAACGACCAGCTCAGAGAACGAAACACCACCACAATCATCCATCTGTGCTACAAATTTTCCCCACTATCTCAAAGTCTAGAGATTAATCAACAGAAGGTCCTTGACTCGATCCACGCTTACAAGGTTATAGATGCACACTTCCGAGGAGTTCCCAGTCCACGATAAAACGGCCGTCTAGCTCTTCCAGACTCTCAAATGGTGGCCTTATCTTGATTGGACTGTATGATTTCAACGAAATTCAAACATCACAGCTTTAAATCAAAAATATTTTTCAAATGTTATTTCAGCTACTTATTATTTAGTTAACAGTATATATTATTTTCACAAACATTTCAATGCAAATATTAAATTACACATACCATATGTGTATGACTATCTCTAGTTTTCGAAACAATCAGAAAAACATGTGGAATAATTAATTTTTCTTCTGGTATCGAAGATGATGAATGTGTCCTTCGTGATTCGCCTTCTTCTTCTTCTTCTTGTTCATTACTATTAGTATTAGTATTCATATCATCTGTATGATTAAATGCTTTCAAAATATTCATATATATACGTTGTTTCAATCCAGAACTGGATGACGATGTCAGTGACGTAACAGATTGACTAGATCTTGATGGTTTATTGAAAATTGACGAAGTTGTATGTGATGATGATGATGTTGAATGATGTTGTTGTTGTTGATTTGCTATTAATGATGATGTAGATGGTAATAATGAACTTTGATTGACAAAAATTAAAGGCATTGATGGACGATATGATTTCGTGGCGGAATTTGGTGTGACTTGGTAAACAAACAAAAAATCGTTAGATTTCAATTCAACTACTTAAATAAATTGTAGTAGTTTGAATTAAATTCACAAAATTTACATAAACCTAAGCATTATTATTGAATTGTTGTGGATTCGACAGTCGGATAATCGATGTAAATGAGAAATTATCATTCTGGACGTAGATATACCATTATTGACTGTTTTATAATTAAACCTTATACATAGATGTCATTGATTTAGATATCAGAATATGATTTACGAGGATTGGAGGGTTATGACACTATCAACAACAAGATTGTAGCTGAATGAGAAATTAGTAGAAAGCGTTGGAAGTGGATAGAACACACACAAATTGAGGAAAGCACTTAAAACTGCATCACAAGACACGTCCTCACGTGGAATCTGTTACTCCTGCACGTAAACAGGTCATTTTGATATACTTGAACTATTACGAGTTACCTAGTCGAAAAACGAAAGCGAGGATCGAGGAACCGGCCACACGACATGCTACTCCAATCCGAGTGTCCCAACCCCCATATTGAGTAAAAGAAGACAAGACTTGATATGAAGTAGAACGTGTATTCTAAAAGCATCCAGAAAGTACGAGGTTCAAATCCAGAAGAAAATCAGGATCCCGGACTAGGGACCCCGGACCGGGTCCTGGTCGTGGTCATAAAATGTTACAGATCATGAGTATTTATAAATTTAGGTCGAATAGGAAACAGCATCTAATTCTGTGACATCGACAGTCAAGATGACCAATAGGAGTAAGAAACATTTGAAGTGACATTGATAGTCAGGATGACCACTGGGAACTAACATTGGAGCACGTGACATTAATATCTAGGACGACTATAAAATTGACCAGTAGGAATGAACCAATAGGAATCGACCAATAATTCTCTTAGAATATTGGATGAATATCCTAACAACGTGTAAATAATAACTGGAGATTTATCGATTAGTTTATTTGTTCAAAGGCTAGGACAAGCCATTTGGACACGACCTATTAGTAGACACACTACAAATCCTTTAAGAATTAAACATCCCTCATACTGTGGATAGGTATCGACTATAACAACATACAACCTAGGTTATACAATGGCCTATATTGACAACCTCCAATAAACTGTCATCTTTTTAAAAAATTAGAAATATAATTCTCATTACCTGGCGATGATGTTTCTAATTCAGAAGATGGATCCAAATAACCACCACGTTGTTTTAAACCTTGTTCCAAACAATTCAAAAATGTTAGCACATGACTTTGAGCACAAAAATGAAATGGTGCCAATTGTATGCCATCCGTTCGAATCAATGTTAAAGTGTATTGATCATCTGTAAATGTAAAAGATTCGCAGGCGTTCAAGAGAATTTATACTTTAAAACCAAAATGAAAAATCACCAAGAAGATAAACGTACTACTCTTCAGTAGTATCAGTAGTATATCTAAACATATATATTGAAAAATGTTTTAACAGCAGTTAGTTAACAACACAGAATCTTTCTTCAATTAAATTTGAATTTCGGAATCATGAATTGATCAATGTTAGACCATTATTAGAAACCTGTAATCATTGGACAACCGTTTCATTCTAGGTTGAGACTCATCAACACTGCTCATCTATGACTCTCGCTACTCACAGGATTCCAACCCAGGACATTCGGTCTTGCAAGCAAACACTTAACCTCTGGACCACTGAAGCGACCCAATCAAATGGTGTAAATTTCTCACTTCAATAAATACACCATACTATGTGATGCCATCCATTGTGCTCAGTGGATAAATACCACACATCCAACATGGTCAAACTCCATTGGTCACGATTTCCTCATGGAGCTAGTCACTAGGGAGTGAATTTATGTTATTTGCATTAGAGAGTTATGAAGATAAGTAAGTTTTATTGAAATCATGAATCGATCATTGTTATATACATATATATGTATAAACCTGCAAAAAGAACTAAATTTTTCTGTACATCAAGTAGGTGCCTCGACGAGCTATGTTTTGTGGTGTCGGAGTAGGTTGGAAGAAAGCTAGGTGCGGCCAAACCAAAACATGGAGGTAGAAATCCATGAAGTCATTGAAAAATGGACTGAGTCATGTTGGTAGATGTAGGCTACCTGGTTGGGGTCCGTGAGACGAAAGTCATCGATGGTTAGAGACTTTGAATGACATGGCTCAAAATCATTTGCAATGGCGCAAGTGCATCCATTCGTTGTGCGCTCTCAAATCCTAATCTTCTGGATTCGTTAGCACCTCTACCTTTGTCTTTCTAACCTTATCTCACTGAATTATACTTCTTGAATGATAATATCTTCAAACCCCCTAGTCTTCTTCATTACCATTAATACTTCTACCATCTTTATCACTATGGGATTTGATTCGACATTTGCGTCTCTGTGTGCTAATGTGGTGGTATGGCAACCTGAACTTATGTACATACGTACGAAGTTCTACGTTGCAACTGACTGACTGACTGATATATATATTCACAGAAAAATCTTACAACATAATCAACCAACCAATGTATTTTTTTTGTAAACAAATAATTCAACCACTTACTATATTCATGATAATGTCCATAAATAATATCAGGTAATTTAATACGAACTGCATAACCCCAGTAAGTTCTACAATAAAAAACACAAATGAACACAGATCATTCTTGTTAAAATTGAAGTTATAAATCGATCAATTCTAGATGATCATAATCAACTTGAAAGCACAGGATAGTCGGTTCGTCCTAGAATAGGACTCATCCGTAGTGATCATCCATGACCCACGCATGACGTAATCGAATCCATAACGTTTGGTGTCGTGCACGAAAACTTAACCTCTTGTGGATCTGCACTGCTGATAAGTCCGATATCGTCACTTATTGGTCATCCGGGCTGCCAACGTCATTTCAAATGTTGTTTCCTATTGGTGGTCGTCTTAAACTGTCAATAATGTCACAGAGTTTGATGCTGTTTCCTATTCGATCAAAATGTATAAATACGCATTATATGTAATGTTTTAGGACCACGACCAGGACAAGGGCTCGGTCACGGATCCCAGGATCCTGATTCTCTTCTGGATTCGGACCTCGTACTTTCTGGATACTTGTAGAATACACGTTCTACTTCATATCACGTCTTCTTATTTTTCTAGTAAATATGGGGGTTGTAATAATCGGATTTGAGTAACATGTCGTGTCACCGTATCCTCGATCCTCACTCTCTTTTTTGGCTAAGGTAAACTCGTAATAATAATTCAAGTATATCAAATTGACGTGTTTACGTGCAGGCATAACACAAATATTGATTAAAACGAAAAAACAATAACAGAATAATAAATTTTTTTAAAAAATTACTGAATTCAATTTACTCTTTTTCATTTAAATCATCCACATCGAATTTGGAATCTGTGAGAGAATCAGTAGAGAAATGAAATTCTTGATTTGATATTGGTGTATTCGTTTGTGATGGTATAGTAGTTGTAGTGGTTGTAGTAGTAGTTACAGCTGAATTCGGTGTCCATTTAAGAATGAGTAGTTTACCACATTCCCCATCAATTAAAGATAAATAACCCGGGATAGGATTGGGTGAATTAGGCTTTGAAGAAAAATAACGAATAGAATGATAATAGAGTTGTGAAGATTGTCAAGTTGTATTGAAATCATGAATTGATGATCATTGTTAGATAACTTGGTTAGGATATTCATCCAATATCCTAGGACAATTATTGGTCAATTCCTATTGGTCAATTTTGTGGTCGGCCTAGATATCAATGTCACGTGCTCCAATGTTGTTTCTTATTGGTCGTCCTGACTATCAATGTCACTTCAAATGTTACTTCCTATTGGTCATTCTAACTGTCAATGTCATAGACTTCAATGTTGTTTCCTATTCGACCAAAATGTATGTATACGCATTATCTGTAACGTTTTATGACCCGTACCATGATCCCTAGTCCTGGATAGTGACTCTTTTCTGGACTCGGACCTCGTACTTTCTGGATGCTTGTAGAATACACGTTCTACTTCATATCAAGTCTTGTATTATTTTACTCAATTTGGGGGTTGGGATAATCGGATTTGAGTAGCACAGTGTGTCACCGAATTCTCGATCCTCGATCTCATTTACTGACTAACGTAAACTCGTCATAGTTCAAGTATATCAAATTGACATTTTTACGCGCAATTGTAACAAACTTGATAATGAAAACCATAAAAATGTGCTTACTAGTGACTAGCTACATGAAAGGTTGTGATCAGTGGAGTTTAACTGAGTCGGTTGTGTAAGGCATTTACCCACTAGAGACAATAGGTGAGGTCGCGTAATAGCGTAGATTTATTGAAGTTAGACACTTTAACTGTTGGATATCGAGTCAAGGCTCTAGAGGTTAAGTGTTTGCGTGCGGGAGTTGTGGATGTACACAGCTGGATGAAACGGCCGCTGAGTGATTCCAGGTTTCTAATGGTGAGTCTATTATTGGTCGATTGATGATTTCAAAGATTTCAATTGGATTGATTCATGCGATCAAAGATTTGCGAAAGTATTTGCAATGATAATTCTTTTGGAGTATCGTGCTCGGAGTAGATGAGGAGTATTAGTATTGAGATAATGAAAGTTTTGTATTCCTATCTTTTAAAAATGCGTTTAACAGGAATGCTCACATTGTGCGGCTAATATAACCTCCCATAAAACAGCAGGTAATGTATATCGAATTTAAAGATCAGTCATTCACCAACAACATACATCAGTTCAAGTTGACATACCAACATTAACGCAGATACTCAACTGTCGACTAACTAAAATCCCATAGTGCTACATACATGTAGTCGAAGTATGAGCAGTAATCGGAAAGATTGAGATTCTAAGAAATTGTTCAAAGAATTTACAGGAGATACAACTTCTAGCTGAATTTCTACAGGATAGGGGGTCGCTAAGCCTATTATCCTCAATCCTCCTCTCTTTATTCACACTTCAGACTGGCAGTAATCCTACAAGGGCTCCAGTCAGTCAGTCAGTCAGATGCAACGTAGAAATTTGTACGTAAGTACATCAGTTCATGTTGCCATACCACATCAGCACAGAGACCCAATGGTCAATTCAAATCCAATAGTAGAAGATGTAGTAGAGGTATCAGAAGTAATCCGAGAGGTTAGGATTAGAAGATATTATTCAAGAAGTAGAATTCAGTGAGATAAGTTTGGAAAGTCAAAACTAGAGGGGTTGAAGAATCCAGAAGATTAAGATTTAAGAGAACACAAAGAATAAATGCACCGGCGCCATTACAAACGATTTTTTGAGCCATGTCATTCAAGGTCTCTAACCATCGATTATTATCATCTCGCGGACCCCAACCAGGTAGTCGACACATACCGACATGGCTAAATCCACTCCTCAATTACTTCATGGATTTCTGCCATCTTTCCGATTACTGCTTATACTTCTACTACCTCTGCCTCTATGGGATTCATATCGACAATTGTATCTCTGTGCTAATGTGATATAGCAACTTAAACTGATATACATACGTACAAAGTTCTATGTTTTAGCTAAATAACTGACTGGAACAATTCAAGTATAACATGGTTATTCTAATTTAGTCTGCTTATAAAATTCTTCTATATACTTTAATATATGTGAGAAGTTTTACATTTTTTATTTAAAATCATTCATTCATTTAAAATCATTCAAGGTCTCTAACCATCGATTATTGTCATCTCGCGGACCCTAACCAAGTAGTCGACAATTACCGATATGGCTAAGTCCAATCGTCAATGACTTCATGGATTTCTGCCATGTTTTGATTTGGCCGCCCCTAGCTTCCTTCCAACCTACTCATACACTACAAAACAAAGCTCTTCGAGGCAGTCGGTGGTTGGGCATACGCAACACATGTCCCAACCACCTTAACTAATGAAGTTTCATTACTTGATCTGCCATTCTTAACTAGCACTCGTTTCCTTATAACAGCGTTGCTCACTCGGTTGTTCCAGGTTATATGAGCAATGCTTCAAAGACACCTATGATCGAAAACCAGTAACCTACGAATATCTTCTACTCTCACTGGCCATATTTCACAACCATAAAGTAAGACGAAGCGAACTACTGCACAGTACACTTGTCCTTTAGTCAGCAAACGGACATCTACACTACGCCATAAGTGACTCCGATTGGCAAAAGCCAATCGAGCCTTGTGTATCCGAGCTGAGATTTCATCAGTCACCAGACCATCAGCGCTGATGAGACTCCCAAGATAAGTGAAGCGGTGGTCCACACGTTCGACTACTTCACTCCCTATCACTAGTTCAGTTGCCAATGCAACCCAATCTTGAAGCAACATTTTGCATTTCAGGGACGGGGAAAACCTCCATCCCCAACATGCTTGCTAGAAGGCCGCTCCAGACGGAGTTACATACCTCTTTATACTAATCTAATCATCATCAAGATTAACCATCATTCATTCATTACAAATACAAAAAACAGAACTAAAACACTACTCACCGGTTGCATCATCACATTATTCTTTCCATATAATAAATGTGTACGTATACTTTGATGCATTGATTCTACATGATCCTTGGCAGCTAATGCAATATGTTTATTAGTTGATGACTTCAGTAGACGATTTGATTTCATCGAATTGAATTCATTCATTTGTGGTAGAAATGCACATGAACCAGTTCTTGTAGTACGATTCATTGGTAAATCATTCTGATTAGTTTGAAATGATTAAAAACAGATTAAACAGTTCATTTGCATGAGCTATTATTTTTGTTAAACTATATTTACTACTGATTGTTTTTTAAGTAGCTTAAGTTATTTGTTAAAAAATATAAATGTTCCGTTGAAATCATGAATTGATCAATGTTAGGTGAATTTTAGAAACCTGGAAGCACTGGACAGCTGTTTCATCCTAGTATGAAATGTATCAACAGTGAATATACACGACCCTCGCCCATGAGAATCTAAACCAGGTCTTATGGTCATGTAGACCAGTGACCCGGCATATATGACATTGTTCATGTCTAACTTCTATCAATCCACGGTTTTGCGTAACCTCTGCTATTGTTTTCGGTGAGCACTACTTCACACCAGAACAACAGTCACATGTGATGTTGTTGGGTTTTGCATAATAACATAAAGTAAATATCAGAAACGCTAAATATAATTTCTTTGGTTTTGTATTTTCAAATGACCATTCTGATTTATTTAGTGTGATAATACGGTTTGGTATGTACAAGAAATATTAACCTAGCCAATATGAGTACGTAAAGAAACTCAAGATATTACTGATTAATGAGAAACGAAGCAACTAATACAGACATTCATTGACAACAATAACTTATTACAGAGTGTATATTGTAATGTATTATCCTACAGAATAACTTAAACACATGTATTTCACATGAATATTTACAAAATGACCTTTAACTTTCGTGGTATAAATCAACAAATAGTTTTTCTAACAGTAAGTAAAAACTTCTATATTTCCATTATGTTCAGTTCGTCAATTGCTATGCTTGAAACCATCACAAGTTCATCTTAGTCGGTAAACGAGAGCGAGACAAGTGATCCAGTGACATTGTTGGCCCGTTGAACTGAAGAAAGAAGTCTTGATATAGTGTAGAAAGTGTATTCCACAAGGAACCAGGGGAATGAGTTTGACAAGCACGCATATCGAGTATATTTATACATCATTGGGGGAGCCACAAAAATGGCGTACTAAATTAATACACCAACCAACGACAGTCAAGGATTTTCCATCGTGGGAAATGTAACCTCAAGGTCAACTGATCCGCTCAAGATCAAAAACATAAAATCCAAAATTAGGACCTTTATCAAGTCCGTTCTGAGGATCTAACGTCCCCAACACGTTACTTATTCGATTTTTACAGACAGAACTTTTGTTCATAACAAAGTTCTCATAAACAATAATATTTATTTCTGAGTGACTTGGTTTTTTTACGGAAACTTTTCAAAATATTTTTCTGTCATAAACAATATTGAAATCATGAATGAATCATTGTTAGGCCGCCATTATTAGAAAACTAAAAGCACTGAGGGGACCGTTTCGTCCTGGTTTGACACTCATCACTCCTGTCGGATGTAAGCAGTAACTACCGAACACAATAGGCGAAGTTGCGCAAAATCCTCAGATTGATTAGGGTTAGACATTAACATCGTTGGATACCGGAAATGGACAGCTGTTCTATCCTTGATTAGTAATCTCCAACAGTGTGCATTTATTGTCACATCAGCGATTTGACTTTTATCTATTTGAGTAAGTCAACATTGGTAAAAATAGGCAACTAAGTATTTTTGCCGCACGTAAATTATTGAATTTGTGTGTGCATGTGTACTGAGATACTGCTCGGGTCTTTGTAGGGGACCACTCTTCGAGTCTTTGCCCTATTAGTCGAATTTCCAAAAAAAACAGTGAAGTTAGGAGATGCAGTCCCATGATACCTGGTAATCAATGATGGGTTCCGTCAAGGTAGTGCAGCCCATATGTACCACTGATTTGAAATCAAGGTTTATCAAATCTCTTTATGCCCACCAAACTGGTAATGCTCCGGATACTCGCTCTTCGTCCGCTCGATTTGATAAACAACATTCCCTCTGTGAGAAAGCAGTAAAGTAGAACTTCCCTAGTAATGGCTTTTATAAGAGTGGTCTTATCAGGAGAGTATTTATTTGTAATTTGTAATAATCGCGCAATAGATATTAAATACTCTGAGTGACACTGTTAAAATGGAAAACCTCGAAACTTCTCTGTTATACTTGAATAAGTCACTAATAAGTTCACTGATGTTCTTCACCGACAACGTAGCTGTCTGAAGACTGATGAGATTTCGAGGGTATATACTATTGTGGAATAATTCACCTAGAATGAAACAGTTTTCCAGTACTCTTTTCATTTTTATTGATACTTCTACAATTATAACCGAATCAGTCAGTCAGTCAGATGCAACGTAGAAATTCGTACGTCTATATACATCAGTTCAAGTTGCCTTACCAACATATTAGCACATAGACACGCAATTTAAAATTCAAATACCATATCAGTAGAGGTAGTAGTGTGGTGTGAGCTACTTATAAGTAGTATATGACGTGAGTGTCAACGTAAAGTCTGGCAGCAGTAGATGGGGGAACATCAAGAAAGGAAGAGTTAGAAGAACACAATGGAATTTGTATGAAACGCATGAATAGTGACAATGGATTGATGTTTGGCAACAGGAACAGTCCAGTTCGATAGGATGAACTGATCTTTTGCAAATGAACAATTTACGATGTGGTTTTCCGATTTTACTGAGTAACTCTGTAATTTTCGTTAAATACAACTCGGTTGCTCCACCTGTGTTCTCGTTCACTAGAGTAGAAGTAATAGCAGTAATCGAAGAGATTAAGGTTCAACGATATTTACTCAAGAAGTATAATTCAATGAGATAAATTTAGAAAGATAAGAAGACTGGATGAACCTATTCCATTGTAAACAATTTTGAGTCATATCGTTTAAAGGTCTCCAATCATCTGGTTCTATCATCTAACGGTCCTCAACCAACTAACTAGTCTACACTTACCAACATGACTCAAATCCACTTTTCAACGACTTCATGGATTGGTGTCATGTTTTAATTTGACCACTCCTAGCATTCTTCTTTCATAGAAAACTATCAATTGCGTTGGTGTTTCGTTCTCTGAGCTGGATATTTCGGTTGAGTGGAGCTTTCATTGTACTTCTGAATAACATCGTCATCACCACAAATTTCAGATAGAAGAAGTGAAGTATTCGAATTTCTCCACGCGTTTGACCTGTAGCTTGTTCTGCTAACCTCAATCTTGATTGATTGTTGTTGACCTTAAACCTGTCGTTGTTTGCACATTTGTTTTGATTGTATCCCCTTTTTGATCTGTTTCTTGATCCTATGTCCCCTATGATTTTTCTGATTGGTTGATAAATTGGGTCAATGTCGAAGTGTTTATTGATTGTTAATTGACCTGAGTGCCAAGCTTCTAAAAATTCTCTAGGGGATACAATCAAAACAAATGTGCAAACAACGACAGGTTTAAGGTCAACACCAGCCAATCAATCAAGTTCGAGGTTAGCAGAACAAGCTAAAGGTCAAACGCATGGAGAAATTCGAAACTACTTCACTTCTTCTATACCTGAAGTTTGTGCTGATGATGATGTTGTTCAGTAGAAGAAGAACAATGAAAGCTCCACAACCAAAACATTCCCAGTTCAGAGAACTAAACACCACCATCACCACAATCATCCATCTGAGCTACAAAACATTTTCTCCACCATCTCACTATCATTTGCTCATAAACTAACTATCTGTAGACAAATGACAGTTGAGTTTTATTCCAGTCAAAAAAAGGTATCTTCTACATGAACTGTAAAATGACTCTCTTTAATTTTTAATTATAAAAACATTGATTTAATTTTTTTTAGAAAGTAACCAGTACAATGTATCATCATATATGCGCGCGCAAACACACACACACACTCAGCCTTTTTAGAACATTCAAACATGTTCATTCATGTTCAATGTGGGTGTGTGTGTGTGCGCGCAATTCTCTTTTTCGTTTTATCTACACTAGTTTTAATGAAAAAAATATATATCAGTACATATATATAATGGTTTTTACATTGTTACTGATGTAATGTACCGGTTTTTTTTCGTTCGTACTTGTGAATTAACACAGACAATACACTATTACTATTAATACTAATACTACTACTACTACTACTACTACTACTACTACTACTACTACTACTACTACTACTACTACTAGTACTACTACTACTACACCGACTTACGCTAATCTGACTTCTACTTCTACTACTACTACTACTACTACTACTAACAGTAATAATAATAATATTATTAATATTAGTATTAATAACTTGATAAAATCTAATGTTATTTATAATTTCTGGCAAATATAAAGCACAAAAAACTTTTATTTCTCTGATAAAGCCAAAACAAATAAAATTCATAACCAATAAGTCAATTATTGAACATTGACTCAACTCATTAAAACAAACAAATAAACCAGTCAATTCAATTTGATAATTAAAATAAAAAAAAGAAAAGAAATACATTGATCATTGAACAGAGTATTATTGATCATTGATTTACACAAGAGAACAATTGACTGATAATTAACTGTTTTAATGAGTGTGTTGTAATGGAGTCAAAATTATCATGTATGCATGATGTTACACGTAACAACAAATGCAAGAGAAAACGACCAGTGTAGCAGCAGCAGCCTCTGCAGCCGCAGTAGGTCTGAACATGCATTAAGGGAAAAGTAAGATTCTCCAATGCAACACAACATGCACCAACCAAATCACTCTTGATGGTGATTGCCTTTGCAGGATGTTAACACCTTTTTACATATCTGGGCAGCATCATCGACAATCAAGGTGGATCCGATGCAGATAAATAAGCTTGATTTCTGTGCTTAAAAACTTCAATCTTTCTGAGTGCCTGGAGAATACATTCTCTACTCCTAATCAAGAATTCTTGATCTGGTTAGCCGGGGCTGGGACAAACGGATTAGAATAGCCTATTGTGTCACTGCATCATTTTTCTTCGCTCTCATTTACCGACTAAGGTGAACTCGTAATAGTTCCAAGAATATCAATTGATGAGCATACCCGAAGTACACAATAGTTATTAATGAAAGGCTTTTGTAGAGACGGTCTCAGAGTGGTGGTATTATATTATTCTCTTAGTGTAAGAAAAGTTTAATTTTACCTTTTCACGTCCATACCTACTTACTTGATTACACTTGTTACCTCTAATAAGGTTATAGGCCGTCAACCAGCATTCTACAACCAACTTTTTGTTATGTTCGTCACTAAGTATGCTTGAGGCTATTACGAGTTTATCTTAGTCGATAAACGCGAACGAGACAATTAACAGCATCCAGGTAGGCTAACTTGAATCCCCAAATAGAGTAAAAGAGCTTTGTAAGCGTAGAAAGTATATTCTACAAACACCCAGCAATCACAATACAATCAAGCAAACAACTCTCGTTTATTTATACATCATAGAAACGTCCTTGAGACAGTCACGAAAATAGCACATTAAAATACACAGCAACCAATCACAGCCATGGATTTTCCTTGAGGGAAATGAAATCTCAAGGTCAACTGATCAGCCCATGCTCGCAAATGTGAAATCCAAAATAAGACATTTATGAGCGAGTTTTGGAGATAAAACATCCCCAACACTTTTCATGACAGTGGTCTATTTGAGGAGATGACTTTTAATAGTTTTCTATATTTGAGGAGCTAGAATTATTGAGCCTGAATCCTTACTGATCGATTAGTTAGTTATGTACTTTGCATTACCAAGACTATCACAAGATTTGAACTAATGAAAGTTGTTGTCATGAAAAATGAAAGAAAAAATAAGGATTCCAGAGTGGATTATCATTGAATGATAATCAAAACAACGGCACTGGTTTCGAACCCCCGATTGAACATCACCTTTCAAATGATGTCACATGTAGCTGAAGACGAGTCTTCAATAAGACCAAACGCATGTTCTAGATTCCGCTACTAGCCATTAGTCATCTTCGTTATAATATATCGTGACAATTCATACATGATTTACATATGCCAAGTCAGTCTAGTCAGTCAGTCAGTTGCAAAGTTGAACTTAGTAGGTGCGTACATCAGTTCAGGTTGCCATGCCACCCATTAGCGCAAAGATGGATTTGTCAATTCAAATGCCATATTTATTGAAGTAGTAGAAGTATTAACGGTAATGGGGAAGATTAAGGTTTGAAGATATTATTCCAGAAGTATAAATCAGTGAAATAAATTTAAAGCCTATGAGTGTTCTCTACTGTAACTGGCCATGTTTCGCATCTATAAAGTAGGACGCAGCAAACTGATGCACAGTAGACTCGTTCTTTGGTTAGCAGATGAATATCTCGCCTACGCCATAAGTGACGTAGGTTGGCAAAAGCCAGTCAACCCTTCTGTATCCATGCTGAGATTTCGTCAGTCATTAGACCCTCAGCGCTGATGGGACTCCCGAGATAAATGAAGTGGTCTACACACTCGACTACATCACTTCCTATCACTAATTCAGGTGCCGATGCAAGCCAGTCTTGAAGCAACATTTTGCATTTCGACAAGGAGAATCGCTTCCCAAGCAAGCTTGCATTGTGGCTTAGTAGGGTAGTCAGGAGACACTGAATTTTTTCTTGGGGTATGGGGTTGGCGACCCTATCCCAACTAAAAAGCTAACTTGCCACAAAAAACTGCTAACCAGAAAAAAGAAATCAAACCATTTTAACTATGCCCTGGGAGTTGGAAGAAGATTTATGACTTCTCATGATGAAATCTGAGTTCCCTCGGAATACACAGTCAGTCAGTCAGTCAGATGTAACGTAGAACATCGTACGTAAGTACATCAGTTCATGTTGCCATACCACATCAGAACAGAGATATAATTGTCAATTCAAATCCAATAGTAGTAGAGGTAGTAAAAGTATTAGAAGTAATCGAAGAGGTTAGGACTAGAAAATATTATTCAAGAAGTATGGTTCAGTGAGAAAAGTTTAGAAAGTCAAAACTAGAGGGGTCGAAGAAACCAGAAGATTAGAATTTGAGAGAACACAAAGAATAAATGTACCCGCGCCATTGCGAACGGTTTTGAGCCATGTCGTTCAGGGTCTCTAACCATCGGTTAGTATCATCTCGCGGACTCCAATCAGGTAGTCGGAATACACAAGGCTGATGCCTCTTCTTACAATCAGAGCAACCATTCTTTTAGTTACATGAACTGATCGGCAGCCTATGCTACATTAGGGGTAACAGGCGTAAGTAAGTTAGTAAGTAAGTAAGTAATCTTTTTTCCTGGTAATTGGTCCTTTTCAATAAATAATCATTTATTTCAAACTTACCGCACTAATCATCGGTGAACTGCAACGTTTCGCCATCCGATTGGATGATGATACCGTTTTGTTCAATTTATCAATACCATGAGAATGATCATCAGCAACAACAGATTGATCATTGAACTCATTGACAATATCATTGTTTCCATTGATTTGTTCAAGAGGTTGCACTGTTTCATTGATTACACTGTCTGAGTTTGTTTTAATCGTCTCATTGGATTGTTCAGTTGTCAAATCGCCAATATTATCCTGATTTGCGGTGTCATTTTGACTAATTGGTGGTCTGTACACAAATTGTCTACACATTAAATTACTATAGATTCCACGACGTTGTATCAGTTCCGAGACTGGTGGATCAGTGTACAAGTGATCGGTTCTACGTGTATGTGAATAGTCAATAGTGCATGGACCACCTGAATTATTGATTTTTGACAGAGAAAAATAAGTAGTATATTGATTTTTTATATGAAATTCTTAATTAAGAAAGACAATCGATTATTTAGTAATCATAGTAATAATAATAATAATAGCAATAGTTTGATGAAATGGGTGAAGAATTTAGGTGTCGAGAAATTGGATTGGTTAACCTTAGGATTTTGTGATTTATTTAAGGGGAATTTCGCCCCAACATACACAAAGGGAAAAGCAAGATTCTACGATACAACACAACATGTGTCAACCAAATCACTCTTGATTGAGATGCTATGAAGGACGTAAACAGCTTTATATATATCATTGACGAATAAGTTGGATGGGATGCAGATGTGAAGGCGCGGAACGGCAAAGCAAGGACTTCATTTATACAAATGAAGAACATCTTGAACTCGAAACAAATATCAACCAACATCAAAATCACGATTTTCAATACAAATGTGAAGACAGTTCTACTGTATGGAGCGGAAACTTGGAGGACTACCAAAGCCATCATCCAGAAGATACAAGTATTCATGAACAGTTGTCTATGCAAAATACTGAGGATTCGTTAACCAGACACCATCAGTGACAACCTACTGTGGAAGAGAACAAACCAGATTCCAGTGAAGGAGGAAATCAGGAAGAAGGGTTGGAGTTGGTTGATACGACACTAACTACGTCACACAACAAGTCCTCACTAGCTTATTTTGTATGACTGAAAATACATAGTCATGCCTCATCACATCGAGTTGGCTCATTTGCTTTCCCTACTTCGCTTTGCCTCTACATTTATTATCCTCATGTCTGACAGTGTGAACCACTGGCTTCCGACTACCACCGTTGCATAAACAGGGTTAGCTTATGAAACTCAACAATCTCTACAAGCCTATCATGACAATTAGATGACACTAATAAATTGGTCAAAGTTATACCATAATGAGCAATCCAGATTTAGGCAACCTTACAAATAGGTGTGTTGTAGTATCAGTAGTAGTGTTCACTGTCAATTATACTAAGTCAGGCTCAATGCTGACGGGATTACAATGTAACCAGAACTTTAAGTGAGTCACGTGTTAGGGAACTCCTCGAAAATCACTTGGTAAACGTTTATTATTATAATTCATCAACTGAATTTCGAATTTTTCATTTTGGTGCCTAACATGACCTTTTATTATCTTCAGTTTGTGTTTCCCACTTGAAAAAACCTTTAACCTCATTGGTTAGTTTTCTCTTTTAATGCCCCATTTTTTTAACTCTTTCAAAGACGCTTCTTGTACTGCATAAATTTTGGCTTAAATCAAATGCTTGTTAATTTATTCGCTTGTAAATTATATATTCTTCTTCATGATGTTGGACTGCTTCCTCTAGTTAAAGCGGATGGAGCGCTGAAACCAGCTTAACTATCCTGTTAATGCCTCATTGATCAGATGTTCCCTTGGCCCATACTAAGTTTTATCACAATTATCTCAAGTATAGCAAACAATGGATCATATTATACTTCGTTTTAAATTGGTTGAGTAACGGAATAGTGGACAAATATTTTCGTAATAGAAAGAGAAAGGTTGAGAGTAAGCAACCTTGCCCCACACCGGTCTTCACCTCGAACGAGTCTGTCAGCTGTCCTTCGTGCACGATTTTGCAGTTGAATCCATCATAAGAATTCCGTATGATGTTAACTATTTTCTCAGGCACACCGTAGTGTCGAAGAAGCATCCACAATGTTTTCCTATCCACGCTATCGAATGCTTTCTTGTAGTCGATGAAGTTGATATAGAGTGGTGAGTTCCATTCAATTGATTGTTCCACAATGATCCGTAATGTTGCATGTGATTTGGTCAGTACACGATCGATCCTTACGAAATCCGGCCTGTTGATCTCGAAGTTGGGCGTCTACGAAATCCTTCATTTTCTTTAACAACAATACCCTGTTGAAGACTTTGCCTGGTTTTAAAAGAAGAGTGATTTCTCTGTAGTTCTCACACTTACTGAGATCGCCTTTCTTTGGTATTTTGATCAGGTATCCTTCTTTCCAGTCTGATGGTACTTGTTCCTCATCCCAAATCTTCTTGAAGAGAATGTAAAATATTTTCGCAGTTGCTTCTACATCTGCTTTCATTGCCTCTGCTGGAATGTTGTTTGGTCCTGCTGCTTTGCCGTTCTTGATCTGTCTGATGGCTATACTGATCTCCTCAATCGTAGGTGCGCCAATATTAATTGGGAGGTCCGTGGATGCTGCTTCAATGTTGGGTGTGTTCAGTGGAGCTGGTCGATTCAGGAGTTCCTGAAAGTGCTCTACCCACCTCAGACCTCATGGCGTATAAATTGCTTAGAATTGTTTAACTACAGTTAAAACATAATGTTGAGCAAATATCATACTGTTCCATCGATAATGTCAAACAAAGTCAACGAGTCACACGCTGAAAACTTATGTCGTTTTTGGCACTTGAATAATAATTATGGTACATAAATTTGATTAACTTAGTAAAATTAGACAACCACTCAAATTCTGAAAGTACTGGATGCCTGTTTCGTCCCAATATACAACTCCACAACAGTACACATTAACAAATCCGCAGCTAGAAGTCAAACTCAGCATCTTCGATCTTAGGAGAAAGAACACTTAACTTCTAAAACACTGAATCAATCTTCAACGAAAACCTACTTCGAATGTTAATGGCTGAATCAAAGATTATGTGTAAATATTTTGAAAACAAACTGTATTTTCTCCAACTGGTGTTGACTTCTCAAAGTTGCAACTTAGACAAACAAACAGCTAAGTCCAAATAGATATCAATCTCATCTCTTTTTAATGAGATAACAATTATTTGAAAATATCATAGTAGAATCATTGAGATATGTATGTATTGAACGAGAACACAGGTGGGGCAATCGGACTGCATTAAACGAAAATTACAGAATTACTCAGTGAAATTGGAAAACCATATCGTAAATCGTTCATTTTCAAAATATCAGTTCATCATATAGAACTGGACTGTTCCTGTTGCAAAACATCAATCCATTGTCTGATATTCACTATTCATGCGTTTCATACAAATTTCATTGTGTTCCCTCCCACTCTTCCTTTCTTGATCTTCCCCCATCTTCTTCTGCTGCCAGACTTTACGTTGACACTCACGTCATATACTACTTATAAGTAGCTCACACCACATACGTATACAATATTAACCTTTTAATGAATTGAACATTGAACGATGTTCAATAAAAATTGAACAATGAATCGGTTTATTGATTTTAAGAGTACGAATCACTCAGTCAATTAAATCATAAGACAAGCAGAAAAAACCACCACCAACAATAACAACTGATCTTTCATACTTTTTTGAATATGATAATAACATTTGATAAACACAAGTTTTGAACAAAAAAAACGAAACTTTTTTAGAAATTTATCAAAGTGAAAAAAAATCATGTTTTATTATTAATAAAAAAATATTTTTCATCTATGAATGAATTTGCTGGTTTTCATAAAAATAATAATAATAATGAGGGGTAATTTCTACACTCAATGAGAAACATGTTTGTCATCGGAGAGTAATGAACATGGTTGGCCGGCTATAGCTTTCTTCCAACTTATTCCCACATCACAAAAAATAGCTCAACGAGGCAGTCAGCAGTTAGGTATACGTAACACATATCCTAACCACCTCAACTGATGAAGTTTCAATACTTCATCTATTGATCTGCCATCCTTACCTAGTACTCGCTTCCTAATGGCAGCATTGCTTACTCGGGTGTCCCAGGATACACGAGCAATACCTCTAAGACATCTGTGGTCGAATAATAATAAACTACTCTCACTGGTCATGTTTCACAGCCATAAAGTGAGACGGAGCGAACTACTGCGCAGTACACTCGTCCTTAAGTCAGCAAACGGATATCTCGCCTGCGTCATAAGTAACTCAGGTTGGCAGAAGTCAATCGAGCCTTCTGTATCCGAGCTGAGATTTCGTCAGTCACTAGGCCATCAGATCTGATGAGACTCCCGAGATTAGTGAAGCGGTCAAACTGCTCAATTGCTTCACTTTCTATCACTAGTTCAAATGCCGATGCAACCTAATTTTCAAGTGTTGAATCACCATCATAGGAAACCTTGACGCATGGGGTGGCAGTCTCGTCAATGTAATGGACTCATCAGCAATGCTCATTAACGAGGCCGCGAGTGGTCATTAAACAAATGATCTCTGGTGTCACGTACGAATGCTCGATCTCTTGGATAAGGTCATGCAATATCATAGATCGATCGAAGTTGAATATCAGCTCAGTAGTCTAGAGATTCAGTGTTCACACGCAAGAATAAAGGTTATATTTTTGATTCCCATCAGCGGACGTCGTGGATGCGCATTGCCACTGATGAGTATCACACTAGAACGAAACAGCCGTCCAGTGCTTTTAGGCGTAGATCCCAACCAGGCAGTCGACACACTTCTAACATGACTCAATTCATTTGTCAGTAACTTCATGGATTTGTGACATGTTTTTGGTTTGGCTGCCCCCAGCTTTCTCCAAGCCTATCTCTACACCACATCAAGTCACATTTATATATTTCAGATAGCGTTTATATATTATTTTGTTAATTAACACTTTGTATTAAAAATGCTTGTTTGTCTGTCTATCTTTCTATCTGTCTATCTATCTATCTATCTAGATATGTCCCTATTCACATGTATTCACACTACTGCCTAGTGTAATTTCATTTACACAATGAGAAAAGTAATATAGTTTCAAGTGTGAATAAGAAAAGTGATAAGTTTTACTTTTTAGAATTTATATTTATGCTTAATTATTCTGGTTGTTATTATAGACAAAAAAGGGTAAAATATTTTTATTTGAAACCATGAATCGATCAATGTTAGACTGCCATTAGAAACCTGGAAGCACTGAAAGACGGCCGTTTCGTCCTGGTATGGGACTCCTCAGAGGCAGTGCGCATCGACGACTCCTGCACCCCGCAGAATTCGAACCCAGGACCTTCGGTATT